ATTTCAGGCCATATGTACAGTGCATCTGTGAAAAGAATATTTTGGAAATTACGAGAAATCAAGTCTTTTGATGTGATGAAAAATTGTCTGCTTTTCTAAACAAAATACTGGTTTCTACAGATAGATTTCACATCAGCACATTTCTTAAACGCTGTAATTTTATACACAGCGGTTTCCAAAAACTGCGGTGCAGATCTTCCATTTTAAACTAGACAACTCAGCAATTCACAAATCAAAGTTTTGCTCCTAATAAACCCCTGAATCTATTAATCTAAATCCTGATATAGCCAACAATCCTTTGGGTAGGACTTTAAACCCAGGTCCCATCAGGTGGATATTAAAGATTCCACGGCACAATTCGAAAACAGAAGGGAGTTTCTCCCGTGCTCTGGCCAACATTCCCCGGATAAATTTGGTGATTTGCTCCATCGTTGTTTGTGGAACATTGCCGTGTGCAAATCAACTGCTGTGTTCACCAACAAAAATACTGAAACGCTCTCGTCTGTCGTCTCGACTGGCAATTACTACTTCAATGTTCAATTTATTAAGTCAAAAACAGGTTTTAGTTAATTATTTACTAAATACTTGAAATAACTGCGCTACAGTATACACTGGAACAGGGTGCTGGCAAGGCACATGCACTTAAATGTACACGTGCACAAGTCAGAGGTGATGTACATGATCACTGAGGTAAGAACCTCAGTTCCAGGTGTAACCCTCGTTCAGTCATGGACAACCCTAAAAAACATTGACTGATTCACAAGCGTGACTTTGCATTCTGCTTTCTAGCCTTCAACAAAAATCAACCGGCTCGATCAATTCAACTGGAAAACTATTTCAAACCAATGGAAATTCTGTCGTAAAACCGGCACTTTTAAAGGATCCTAGCACAAAACCACTACACAAGTCTCAGGCACTGGGGATGTCCAATTTAGGGTAGATTTAGGCTGTGAACAAGCGATATCGGATGATGAATATAGCGCGTTTGAACTTATTTGTGAAACAACTGTCAGATAAAGTAAACTAACCTGTTGGACTTATCTGAATTTTTAACACAAAGCTTTTGGGATTTCCCCACAGCACGTACTATTTGAGAAGAAACAGCTGACCTGCACCATTGGCTCTGCAAAGGGTATAAATCTCTTAATAAATGGGTATAAATATTCAGGGTGACTCACCCAACTATATCTCTCTTCAGGCTGGGAAACACCCATGTCTGATGCCTGGCTAAGATGAGGAACAAGCAGCATGAGGAAATGTGGGTGAGAACCCACATCCCATCTGACTCACGATGGCAGGAATTTTAACCCAATGGAAATGGGGGCACGGTTCCATTTACGGGTATCATTCAAGTGCCACTTACTGGCAATAGCAATATTAACAGCACCACTTTTAAAGCATTGAAATAAAAGTTGATTGTGAAGAAGTTCTTCACAAATAAAACAAGAATTATTTTATTTCTCAGTCCCTCACTGAAACCCATTTACAGTACCTATTTTTTCCCCTGACAAACCTGGCAAAAATCGTTACCGATTAATACTTGAAACAATTTTTTTTTGCAAATCAAGTTAACTCAATGCACAATGGCACATAGCACCTTCACATCAGCAAAAACATACATGACTTTTTTATTCTCTTAAAATGCCGAGTGCGTCTCGCAAGTTGGAATCGTACAACAATCTGACTGAAATGTTTACTATTTTTCATAACAACAGTCAGTTTCAATCTAGTGCAATGAATAACAGCTGTTCGGTCAAATATATTTTTGGCAATTTTTATATGAAAAAAAATTGAAAGCATTAACTCCCTTGGACTCTTTTTCTCCCCCCAAAAAAACTTAGAAGGACTGTCTCCCTGGGGATTAGCACAGCCTGTGTTCTCCTCCGCTAGCTGAGAGGATGAACACCTTTTTTCAATATCTAACAGGTTTGGCTGCCATTAGAGTGTGCAGGGAAACACCAGGCCCACACTCACAGCCCTTCTCCTAATAAACATTTTGATAATCCACCTCACTCATTGAGGCAACGCGGCTGAGGTACGTATATGAAACCTTGGTGATGAGTTTCAAGACATCCGGACCACCCCCAAAAAAGGTGTACGAAATCAAAACCTCACACCGCGTCAGGATCTTAAAGAGGTCACGGTTAAAACATCCAGCTGGGAAAGTTATTTTGATAATATAATAATCCTTGCATTTGATCTATGGCGCCTCATCAGGTCTTCGAGACGTCTCAAAACACTTCACAGAATATACTGTAAAGTGATGCATATTTTTTGTGGGCGAAACTCGGCAGCCAATAGCAGTCACAGCCTACCCTACAGCTACCCAGGAACACGGCAGGGATGCTTGATGTCAAAATTGTGCCCAAAGTGCCAAAATGCTCTCTTTCTCACCTTCTTCGGCACAGAATAACGTTTACATGTTCAGGAGACTCAGTGGTGCATTAACACGCGGGACGGCAGGATACGGGCAGAGCGAGGGAGTGGGCGGAGGCTGCGGGTGGGAGTGGGGGGAAGACATGCTGCAGGGAGTTAAGCCACTTTCTCAAAGGGAAGGAGATCAAAAGAACTGCAACGCAACAAGCACAGCGTGCGTCAACCTAATGTACCTCCCTGCAGTTGTCTTCACAAGATGTGCCGTGAAACAGGGAACAAAAAAAACAGAGGGGGAAGAAAAGTTACAAATTTCAGCGTGGAGGGGTTAAACACAGAGAACTGTAAGACATCCACATTTCGGGGGGGGGGGGGGGGGGGGGTAGGTGGGGGGTGTGGGGAGAACATTTCCTGTTGATACCAACTATCTTTGGCATATTAATGCTGATGTTAGAAGGAATGCACTGTACAATTTCTGCACTATGTCACTTGGTACTTTCATTTGACAGGATTCAAGATAAAGGCAAGTTATGGTGTAAATTGCTTCCAGATTCCGGACAATGACTTTCTGAAGACAAATCTACGACATTCATCAACTTCCTGCCATGTAATTTCAAAATTCCAGCATTCCCCAACACCGAAGAAAAAGTGGCCGAGACCAATTAAAATTATTTGCAAAAACAGAATTGATAGGTTTCAATATCTGCAATCACATCAGAACGGTCAACACATTTGTATCCCAGTGGGTCCTTCCACTTTCTAATTCAAGTTTTTCATTCGAGGTTTTCACTTCCCAATACAGACAGACATATTCAGCCTTTTGGTGCCATCTCTTGTTTAGTTACTGTACTGTAACTCCTTTTAAAAACAACAAAGATGAACTATAATTTACAGCTAGCCTTGGCCAGCACAATAATCTTCACCATAATTTATCATGCAGACAATGATCTGGTTAATAATCCTTGCGTTTGATACAGCGCCTTATCACGTCTTCGAGGCACCTCAAAGTGCTTCGCTGAATACACCGTAAATAATAATAATCCCTGCATTTGATATTGCGCTTTTCACGTCTTCTCGACGTCTCGAAGCGCTTCACAGAATAGACTGTGAAGTGAATTGACTGTATATTTGTGGACGAAATGCAATGGGTTTCTGCAGGTAGATCTAGAACAAAATATAGGATGGATTTCCAACAATAATACAGCCTTTGACACCACTTGCACCTCTCAAATAAAATGTCAAAATAGGAGCTCAGTTGCACAAGTCTTCCAGTAATTTTTTGGTTAAGTTTAGCATTGCTGAAGTAGAATTCCATATAAGCCAGAAAGTCTCTGGTACATTGCCCAAGTGGTATTAATCGCAAGTGTTGACTAGCTGTTCAATCACAAAGCCTAATCTCGATCTCACCCACATCACACGTGTACCCTTCCAGCTGGTCAAAATACACACAGACACACACCTTTCTCTTCTGGTGGGGCGAGGCCTTGGGGAGCTGTGAGTTTAAACTTGGGGCAGAACTCCATTCCTAACCTTCACAATTTGTTCTTATAAATGACATGGAATTCTACGATTGCTTCCTTTCCCCAGTGATCTGGTCAACACCCACCCCCTCCCCTCCCCTCCCCACCACACACACACACACACACACACGGTTACAAATTGAGCCATGATTAGGAGGCTGGAAGTAAAGTGGAAAGAATCACACTTATTCAATCTCCAGCGAGCATTACGCTGGAAAGCAAGCAAGGCTATCCACCCATTCTGTGATTGAATGGCTTATTGAAGAATGAGAGAGAAGGCAATAATTCAAGAGTATGAATGCAATTGAAAAGGATCCACGACACAATAATGCATTATCAAATATGCCTCAAAAAGCAAACAACTTCAGGCATTTATTTTTCTCACGCATCAACACATTCCTTCTGGTCAGCTAGTTCCAAAATAAGGACAAAGATGCTTTTACAAACAACGGGCCAGAGTAAAAAAAGATCAATTTAAAGTGTGTGCTCTCAGGTAAATCCAGATCTGTGGAAGCCTGAACAGCCAGTCAAGCCAGTAAAAGGTCTGCATGGCTCCACACTACCTTAAAAGAAATGTTAAATAAAAAAGCACACAGGGCATCAAAGTCAGACTTTTCCCCTGTATCTCTGTAGAGGTTGAGATCTTACACAACCCAAAAGCAGAGGTCAATGTGAGAGAACTGACAGTGGTCTTGTGAAATGCAACAATTTGATTTCCTCCCTTATGTGAAAAAANTTGTGGTGAACTACTCTCAAGCACAAACCACAAGAAACACGCCAATTCCACCACGTTCTGCTGCATCCTCTGCATCACGCACAAGCTTCATACCTCATCCAACGAAGCCTCCAGCAATGAAAACAATTCCAATAGTTGTGAAAGGCACTGTACAAAATGTAAGTTGGTATTATGGCAAGTAAATCACTGTGAAAATCTCACCGAGCAGAGTCTAGTTTGGGCGTTATAACTTTTGATCAATCAGCTGAAAACCTCTTGTGTTTGTGTTGCTGTGCCGCGGACATGTGATGGAAATATTAAATATTTCTGAAAACAAACTTTAAAACATACTACATTAAAAAAAAGAGAAATGAAGGCAGCAAATGACTCACGGGAATGCTCCAAATCTGCATCCCATCTGTGTATCCAATGAGCAGGAGCAGGGGAGGATCATTTCCCGTGTTGTTCATCTCATGATATTCGGGATTTCTCGCTATATCTGTCAAGACATTGGATTAGAACATGAACATAATTCTCTAGAAGAACAGTCTAAACGCAGCGCTACTAGAGACAATTTATTTATGGATCCACGAAGATTGGATTTGCCAGTTTATAAAAATTGTACCAAACAGCTAACTGGTTCACTGTAACTGTGTTATTGTCAACAGCTTTACTGCAGCCCTGTTATAACACACTTTACTATTGTCCAGATGACAGGGTGGCACGTGGATGCCACTCACTCCGAACACGTTCAGTTTGGCCCACTTTGTTTCCTCCGTGCCTGCCGTTTTTATCCACGCTAAAATCGACAACTTCCAGGTTTTCAGGTTATTGCCAACACCACTTCCTGCTTTGCACATACACAGCAAACAGGAAGAGATGTTGATGGTATTAACCCATCAACCTAAAAGTCGGCCATATATTCTTTAAGCGTGAAAAAAAGGCCAGTGCACAGGAAACTGCGTAGTCTATCACTCCTCGTTGTAACGTGGGTTGGGGTTTTAAGGATCTCCCAAAACACAATAGGTTTAGAACAAAGCTCCACTGAATTTCTATTTGTCAGATCAAATGACCCTTCCCGACAATATCTGCACAACTCTAAAGTAGAATACTTAATAAAACAAATTTTCTGTTATTTTAGTTTCCAACTCTGGATTAACCTTCTTAGGCCACAAACCATTTCCCAGCAAAATAATAATAATATTCATCGCAGTTGATGTAGCGCCTTATCACATCTTCGAGATATTTCAAACTGCTTCATAGAATATGCTGTAAAGTGAATTGACTGTATATTTTGTGGGCGAAAATAGACTAACTTAAACTTCTATCAATCCTGCTCTTAGCCCAGCTGTTCAAACTAAACATATTGCCCTCTTATTCTGTCTCCCAGTGTACTGGTTGCTTGAAGCAAACCCCAATAGTCTGTTAAAACCTAGAAGCTCACCATGTGGGAAATCATCGGTGCAAACTAGAGTACTGTCACTCCACGGCAGAGCACACTAATGCTTTTAACACACTGTGTCAGCCTAAAGCGACACATTATATGACAGCTTTACAGAAATTGATGTCTTTTAAGCAGATCAGTAGCAGTAATTGATGATTTTTCCCAAGTTCAGTACCTATAAATGTAGGATTAACCAATTATGCAACAGAGCAAGGTTCGACGACAAAAAAAAATTCAGTGGTCACTTATACACACAGCCGACCATAGATAGATAGATATATTCTTGCACCCAAGAATTAATAAATAGTAAATCACAAGGTCAGGCTTAGTCAGCCCCCAGCCATGAATTGCTGTATCGCAGAAAAATAATGGAGGAACCTCTTTCCTGTAAGCTTTTTCTGCGTGTCCCAGTCTTTACAGGGCACTTGTTATTCTTCAGCACACTGCCTGCTTTTGGCAACTGACAAATTGAAGAGATTGTATAAGGGCATAAATTAGCATCCACTGCAAATGCCTCAGTTACCAATCGCCACACTTAACATTTTCCTTTCAGCAACTGATGGGCTGTGAAAAAGCAGACGAGGTAAATGCTAGTGACATGAGAAAATAAAGCCACTGATGGCTTTTAAACACTGCTTAAATCCTCTCCTACTTGCTTTTTCATTAACATGTATTGCTTATGGAAGAGATAAGCATTTGCCAAAACAAAAAGACATTTCCTTGACTGAATTCTGTATGGTATAAATTCCCATTTACAGAGAAATGTTATGCTTGGATCAGCAATCCTACAGACCGCCTGCAAACACATGACTAATTTATTATATTTGTACCTCAACCCATTTAACCACTCATGCTGCAACTGAATCGAACTTAAAATAATTCACTTATGCAAAATGCAAAATATAATCTCTTACAAGAAGCCGTTAGTTTGCATTGACGACTGGCATGTGCTACTCAGTGAGCTGAGCATGAAAACATGACTAACTGGGAAACATTTTATGCTTGAATCAGGATTAAATACGAGTTATGCCAGCACCAAGAATTTTATATGATTAGCATGAACGTGAAGCAGTTCGGTTCAGTGAGATTCTGCGCTTAGAACAGATGGCTATTTATCCAGAGTCAACTGCGCACAAAAAGCTGATATGAACCATACATACACGTTGGACTGAACATTCAAACATAATATTTATAAAGAGAAAGTTTTTTTTAAACAAAGTAAGTGTGGTTCACATCTTTAAAATGGTTTAATAAGATTATAATGTATTGTATCATCATTTCTGCATTATACATCACACTGCATGTTTTCCAGTCTGTCAGTTTCAATACACATTGGATTTGACAAGGTCTCTCAACTAAGAGAGGAAAGAATGATGTCTAAGCTGTAACCCTGGCATTGGCCATTCACTGAACAATTAAAACTTGTTCCAAATAGATTTTAAAAATCTCATCTGAGGCACGATTCCAGTCACTGGAAATATCTTCCAAACCAAAGGCATTTGCTAAAGCTATTTGTTACTCTATCGAGTTGCTTTGCTTTAACTTTACAGGTCATTCGAACATCCTATCAACTTTGGGAAAGGCTTTTTTTTGGTCAACCAGATGTCTGACACATGCGGAAACCCATCACCGGGTATGGTGATGGGTTTCCGCACGTGTCAGACACCCGGCTGACCAAGAAAGAGTATCCAAACCAAGTCGATGCATCCCATTTACACATGGAAATCCCAGAGTTAGATTGTTGGAATGGAATGCACTCTCTCTCTCTCTCTCTCTCTCCCTGGAGGGACCATCCTGCTTACCTAATTCTGGAAAGTATTAGGCACAGTTTGGCAAGAGCCAAGGCTTGGCCAGAGCCCAGAGTGTTCCTACAGCATTAAAATATATTCTCTTCTTAGATCCTCCACCACCATCACTGGTCAATGCCACTCAAACTCCGCTCTAGTCTTCAATCACCCACTGAGATGTCCAGGCATCCCAGGAGGGAACTGACATGCTTAGCTTTCTGCAGCTCAGCACTTTGGTGCGTTTACACACACACAAGCGCTTCGCAGCCCTCAATTGTTATTGTTTTTAAAAATCAGAAAACAAGTCATGGCAGTAAAATCCGCATTTACCATTAATGTCAGCTTTTTCGAAGTGAACCCAGACTATTTTCTCCTTCTCGTCAGGCGGAGGGGAGCTGGTGTAAGCCTGCGAAAGAGAAGATTAAAAAGCTAAAGGCGGCACAGAGTGACATCAACAGCTCCGCAAAGAGCGATTCAAGAAAAGACTTAATACAAAGGACAGAAACCCACACTGTTCATGCCTACCTGTGGGACAACATCTTGCAGAAAAGTCACCACGCTCTCCATGTACGATTGCTCCCTGAAAACACACACAAGGTTCGGTAAGGAACTCCCAACTACCTCAGAATTACACAACTCACAGTGGGCGCACAGTGAGGGGCCAGGATCAGTCACAGTTGCATTATTCCCAGCGTTGAATAGCTTGCCAACATCCAAGTTTCACACACAATTAATTACACAAAAGTGTTTGTGAAACCTGCAGCATGGATTAATTACTAATCCAGGGCAACCAACAAGAGCCACATAAGCAAGTTACATCACCAACAATTAGAATTGCATATAATTTCCTCGTCAAAGTGAGTGAAAATACCAGGCTGTTCACTGGCGACTGGAAATGCAGTGCATTTCGTCTTGTTGGAGGCTGGCATTCCTGATAACATTAAAACTTTGCCGACAAACTTGGTACTTCACACGACAAGCAGCAACGCATGCAGTGTTGGACTGGTAATAAGCTCGTTAGCTTACGTGACGGCCTGATGGCGAACCATTGCTCCACCGGTGCAGCGGCTGGGTCTGCGTGGAGAGTCTGTCGCCATAATTGCTGGATTCTTCCTCCAGTTTCAGATGATGTGACCAAGCTGTTCCCTGTGGAGCCTCGACCAACTCTTGTGGCAGCCTACTCAGCAAGTGTCATCGGGTGATTTGACCAGGGGAAAAGAGACATCGTACATCAGAAAATCCTGTCCTCACTTATAGCATCTCCCACCACTAAGCAGTAGGGTAACTCAGTACACAACCTGAGAATGAACTTAGAACTTTCTATATCTCACCCCAGAATGCATTTACTCAAGGAATCAATAGAAAAAGCTAAACGGTACCAAACAGTCTAAGCACTACTATTCTGTCTTGGGACATCAAAATAACACAGCCAAAGGATTCAACTAGTGAAGATTGCTAACAATCGAGGCAATTTAGACAAATTAAGCAATTGGGTTAAGCAACAGCAGATGGACAACATATGGTAATGTGCAATTGAAGAGGATATACAAACACACAATGAACAAGTGGCCCAGTAAGGTGGAAACAAATTTGATTCAGATGTCAAATATTTACTGCAAATGTCAGAATATGTTGAGCTATTATAAAGGAGACAAATCAAGCACTGGGATTCATCCCAAGAGCATTAGATTAGAAGCCAAAACAGGTTGATCTAACTTTGTACAGGTAGTTCTCATTAGGTTAGATTTAGAATACTCTGTATAGGATCATCAGCCCATCTTCTTATGGTAAATGTTGCTTTAAAGTCTTTTCAGGCAGGACTTGAAAAAAGGGGAGAGGGGGAAGACGGGGGTATTGAGGGAGTGTTCCAGAGTTTTGAGGTGTAGTGGTTGAAAGCGTGACCTCTGATGGTGGGGCGGAGGGTGCGAGGGACGAGCAGGAGGCCGGAGCCAGTCGAGCGGAGGCTCCGGGTGGTGGATTGGGGATTGAGGAGGTCGGAGAGGGAGAGAGGTGCCAGGGAGTGAAGGGATTTGAACACGAGAGTGAGGATCTTGAAGTCGATCCATTCGGTGATGGGGAGTGAGTGGAGCCTGGGCCAGAACCTGGTGAGATATGGGTACGGAGTTTGGTCCGGGTCAGTATGCGGGCGGCAGAGTTCTGAATGAGCTGCATCTTTTTGAACAGTGGAGCTGGGGAGACCGGCGAGGAGATGGCACTTCATTATGGCATGGATCCATTCACAATGCACTCGCACCACGCTATACCAAAACTGCCATCCATTTTCAGCGCAGTTTGCCCAACTTCCGGGCACAGCTTGCAGAACGAAACATCAGCAGCAACTGAACAGCTCGGAAGCACCGAAAAGCATCCATTTTAATAAGGGATCTGATTTTACAGACTCAAACCACCCACTATAACAGTGGTTATAATATAGCATCATAATACCATCAGGTGTAATCTCAAAGCGTCTTGCAGAGGAAAGGAGCACATAAACCATGGCCAGGTATGAAATAGTAAAAGACTACGATCAGTTACAGTAAGGATTAGCACCAAAGATCACCAATTTCTGTGGCAGGACTTCAAATAAAAGTGCTTAACTTTTCTAATAATTCTTTGAAAAGGCCTCTCGGTCCTCTGCACCAAATAATGATAACCAACGACACACTCACCCTCACACATACACACACAGATATACACACTCACTCTCACACATACACACACAGATATACACACTCACTCTCACACATACACACACAGATATACACACTCACCCTCACACATACACACACAGATATACACACTCACTCTCACACATACACTCACACCCAGATATACACTCACTCTGACATACACACTCACTCCTCGCACATACACACACAGATATACACTCACAGACACAGATACACACACTCACACACACAGATACACACTCACACACACAGATACACACTCACACACACAGATATACACACTCACACACACAGATACACACTCACACACACAGATATACACACTCACACACAGATACACACTCACACACACAGATGCACACTCACACACACAGATGCACACTCACACACACAGATACACACTCACACACACAGATATACACACTCACACACACAGATACACACTCACACACACAGATATACACACTCACACACACAGATGCACACTCACACACACAGATACACACTCACACACACAGATATACACACTCACACACACAGATGCACACTCACACACACAGATACACACTCACACACACAGATACACACTCACAGACACAGATACACACACACAGATACACACACACACACAGATACACACATATATACACACACACACACAGCCTCAGGTGCTGAGCGCTGAAGACTCAGCCGTTAAGGCCCGATGCAGGCGGTGACGGTGTGTGTCAGTGTGAGGCCGGGGCCTGAGTGCCGGGGACGCGGTACTGACCGGGAGACGGTCTCTCTCTCTCTCTCTCCTCACTGTGCACAAACCGCTGCGCAAGCGCCGCCGCCCGCCAGCGCCGGATGTGGCGCGCGTGATTGACGACGCCGGGGACCAATCAGCGGCCGGAGTGGGCCGGAGTGCCGCTCACGTCACCTGCCAATCAGGGAGTTGAGCCAATCGACGCGGGGGGGGCGTCGCGCGTCACTTCCGTATTATGACCCGCCCCGCCCCACGACACCCAGGGGGAGCGACAGAGAGAGAGAGAGAGAGAGAGCGGTGATTTGTGACAAGATTCAGAGACGAGCCGTGACGAGCCGCGGCGCCGTCTCCGGGCGTCGGTGGCCGCGACGTGTCAAAGGACTTGACATTCCCGCGGTTACTGTGACGGGGAAAGCGGCCGCGGCGTCCTGTTTTGTTTACATTCAGGTGTCGCGAGACTCCGCCGATCACGTGACTTTAACTCCTCCCCCCCTCCCGTCCCGTCCCCGCCCCCCCGTGACGCAATAGCCGCCCCGCCCACCCCTGTCAATCAACCCCCAGAGTGACAGCTGCTCTGCCCCCGCCCCCCTCCCGTCAATCAACCCCCAGAGTGACAGCTGCTCTGCCCCCGCCCCCCTCCCGTCAATCAACCCCGAGTGACAGCTGCTCTGCCCCCGCCCCCCTCCCGTCAATCAACCCCCAGAGTGACAGCTGCTCTGCCCCCGCCCCTCCCATCAATCAACCCCGAGTGACAGCTGTCCTGCCCCAGCCCCCTCCCGTCAATCACCCCCCCGAGTGACAGCTGCTCTGCCCCAGCCCCCTCCCGTCAATCACCCCCCCCGAGTGACAGCTGCTCTACCCCCCACCCCCCCCACCAGGAGCACTCCGATTTTGTCCAGCAGAAACTGCCGCGATTCCTGGCAGAATCCGGTCGGGGGCTTTTCAGGAGCGTTGAGCAATCCCAGTCGGGGGTGCGGCTTGGGAGGCAGGACCCCCCCCCCCCCACCCAACCCCGCGCGCTCTCCCACCATTCCCCCCCCCCACCACCACCCGAGCCGGAGCTAAACAAGAGAACCGCGGAAAATCCCCCGCGCCGTACACCCAAGCTCAGCCTTTGCACAGCAGGCGCGGATGATGAAAAAAAACCAAGAGAGACGCTCCTTTCAAATTACAGTAACAAGCCATTTCTTTATTTGTATCCGGTAAATGGAGTAGGGAGGGGTGGTGGGGTGGGGAGGGGGAAGGTAATAAAGTAAAACACAAGAGGTTAATACTTGCACCAGAGCTTTCGAGATACAATTATAGTACAAAAGATAGTAAAACTCCCCCCTGTTTAAGATGTAGCAGCACCATCGTTGGCCGGGACGAGGAGTACAATCCCTTCACAAGATTCAGATCCAGCCACAAAGTTCGAGACGTTACACCTGAAAAGTTTGCACTCAGGCGGGGCCGCAGCACGGATTCCCTCGCCTCAGATTTCCCTGCGCCACCCCGGCGTCGGGCACGGATTATTGTCCCGTCGGCCTCCCCACTCCCCAGGCAACCAACCAGAGGGGGACAGGGTCGCAGCACGGGACTAACCAACGGATATCAAATACTTCTGTAGCCTTTCCAACTGTGATTTGCTGCCCCACCCTCAAGGTGTCAGATTGGCGAGCGAGAAGCAAAGGACGGCAATTCTCATCTGGTTTTGAGACCGGGCAGTGGCTATTCAACTCTTCTGTCACGAGCAATTCAAGACACGGACAGACAGGGGCGGGCAGAGAAATGTGTTTCTGAGCTCTCGCTCTGCGCTCCCATCAATTCAGAGACATTGATATGCTTTGAATTCCTGGTTAAACAGTAGCAGTGTAGGGTATAAAATGTTGGGATATAAAAATCTCACGTGCTTAAATGCTCACTGATTGTTTTTGGGAGGGTTTGAATCTCAGTGCCTCTGGTGGCTCAATGGATCGATGCGCTTTGTGGAACAGCAGGTGCTGGGTAGGGGTGAGGGGAACCTGGACGTCAGGTTTAAAGTCCTTACCCCACCATGCGCAGCCCCACAGGGAGCCAATGCCACTGTCCTGCCTCCGAAACCCGAGGGGGAAGATATTCAATCAAACTCAGCATCGGCTCAATCCAGCAGCTCCAGCTGTGGCCAGGGACAACCTGTATAACAGCTCTCCCTGTCCAAGCAGGAAGGGAGAGGGGTAACATCCCACAATACGCTGACAAGACAAATCCACTCGCAGTGACAGACACCTGGGGCTAAAAGCCGTCTCTCCAAGACTCACTCGTTCAGATAACTGACCACAAAGTTACGCTGCGTCAAAGCTATAAATTTTACACCCAACGGATACAACAAGGTCACTGGACACACATTGGGGACGTGGCGGGGAGTCGGTTACTAACTGGCCAAACGTCCCCACAACCAGACAGAGAACTGTACAGAGTTGCAGCAGAATCTGCAGGGATTTAAAAACAAAAACTGCTTGAAATGCCTCGTCGCCCAGCGTCAAATCTCTCAGGAATGATTCTTCCCCCCCCCCCCCACCTCCCCCCAGCCACCAAAATCAGGCCCTCAGCCCTCTCTCCATTCTGACCCAGAATGGGAGAGATTCGGGGGGAGTGGGGGGGATGGTTGATTTGAGAGCGACGCTACCTAAAACGGACATAAAAGTACTCTACACTTCCCTCGAGGCCACACAACTTAAAAACAGACGGGCAAGACGGTGCAAAAGATGTCGCCTATTTTACAAAAAGAGAACCCTTAAGACATCAATAAAATCCCGCACAGCGCTGATGGTGAAGTTTTTACACAATCCTGAAAATATTAATAATAATAATAATTATGAGCGGAGAGGAAGGAAAGTCGGGAAAAAAAAGTCCCTTCAGCAAACGCAGATGGTTTTGCGGTGCTGGTTCAGCAAGGCGTTGTTGCCCAGCCTCTTCTGCCCCCGCAGGCTGCGGCGAGGCACTTGCTGGTTGGAGTTCCTCCGCCTGGAAGCCACGGTGGGGCTGGCGGGCGCTGCCCCCGAGCGCCCGGGGCTGCGTTTCAGTCTCTTGGTGGACGAGCCCGGGTTGCTCCTATTCAGTTCCTCCAACGTCCTCTTAAAGGCGCCCGGCTGGCTCCTCTCTCCGGCCGGCTGGAAGTCGGATCTCAACTGGCGGACGCAGCACAGCCTCAACAAGCCCCTCCTCCCTGAGCCCCCCAGGGACAGGCTCGTGGTCAGGTCGCTCATCCGGGCCGCCAGCGCTCGCTCGCAGTTCTCCGTCGTCTCCTCCAGCTCCTTCAGCTCGGTGGCTGTGGCCGGAGCCTCAGACCCGGGCCTCCCCGCGCTCCTCTCGGAGAAGACGTCCTTCCGCGAGAGGGAAGGGACAAAGTCGGAGCAGAACCAGCGCAGCGACGCGTCCTCCGGCATCTGGGAGGAGAGGTAAAGGAGACAGCGGGTTTGTAGCGGCTTTAGCTGCTCAAGACAGTCAACATTTACTGCGGCGATGTCAACCGTGATCCACACGCGTGTGTGCATGTTACATTACATTCTTGTAAACGGCCCTCGTGACTTTTTTTCCTCGTTGCTGTCATTGGTGAATCAAAGGGTGTGAGAGGCCTCATCTCTTCCCTGTTCCCCTGAATCCTCCTGATGTACCCGTGTGACCTGTTTAAACACCTTCCCCCCCCACCCCCCCACAGCTATGAAAAGCCCCACAGACACAGCGCCCACACACGCAGCGTTAACCCCCAACGTGTGTCACCTTCAGCGGAGGGGTGGCGTCCGGCGAGAGCGAGGGGAGGCAGGACTCCTTGATGTTGTGAAGGGGGCCGTCCGTCAGCTCCAGGTGCAGCTCCTCCCCGCAGGGACGGTCACTCGTCCCCGCGGGCGGCTCGATGCAGATCACGATGGCGCTGGTGTTGTCCGCGCGCAGCATCCTCTGCCGCCAACGGCCCAGCGCGCGGAACACCAGCAGCTTAGCGGCCGTGGGGCCTGGCTCCTCCTGCACGGGGGGGGGGAATAGGGGAAAAGCATTAAATGGCTGCCACATTTCACCTGCAAAATACAGTCACTACGCTTTACAGTATATTCTGTGAAGCGCTTTGAGACATCTTGATAAGCCGCTCTATGAACACACGGGGGAAGGGATGAGAGGGCACAGGGAGAGAGAGAGGGAGCAGGGCATAGAGTAACAGCTTTATTGGAACAAACACGCAATGGGTTGAATGTCCTGTCGTGTGCTGATTTCTATGTTTCTAATGGATCAACAAGGAGGACAAGGCATTGGGGGTTTCGTGCAGGAGTGAGCACCATAGGTGGTGGGGTTGGGGGGGAGGGGGCTCAATGAGCCAAGTGAACCAGCCTTGCTGCCATTCCGCCCTCCCTCCCTCCCTCCCTCCCTCCTCAAAGCCTCACCATTAACCGTTTCCTGTCCTCGCTATCCCGGCACATGGTAACTGCGTCCTGAGCCGGGATCATGTTCCACAGGCCGTCGCTGCCTAGGATGATGTACTTCTGGTGACGGTAGTTGATGGTGTGGACGCTGGTGTCAGGGACCGGCGAGACCACAAACTCTCCGCTGTAGAAGTCGTAACTCCACAGGTCACCTGCGGAAAAGGACCAATGTGGCTTCACTGCAGCAACGGCAGAGCTCAGCAGCATGAACGCTGTGTGGCAGTCAGTCTGTGTGGCTGTTTGGAGAGTACTGTGTAACCCCAGTACTCTCCAGACAATCCATCCCAACCTGACTCAGCAGTAGGACTTGGACTGGCATACAGTCAACGGGAGAGAGCGCACATTCCATTCAAACACTCAGAAATTTCCACGTGTAGATTGGCATCAGTGGCGTACACAAATCCCAGTCTGGTTCTTAAGCACGGAGATGGATTTCCGCATTGGTCAATGTGAGAGCCACTTTGAAGTTTAGACACTCCTAAATGCAATGATTTATTATTATTAATAATAATAACGTCAACATCTTCAGGATGAGATGAAATAAAAGGCACAAAGCTCAAGTGGAGAATAAATCAGTCAATGAGGTTTATCTGGACCGAAATAACAATGATCTGAAAGCACCCTTCCTCCTGCCACCCACAAGAGGGGGATATAATGAAGGACAGTGAACAGGCAGTAAATGGCCAGCAGATGTCGGTAACTAACCAGTCTCTGACTCCCACACTGCCCAGCCCGTGGTGTAACACGTGACTAGCCCGAGAAATCCAGCCCTTCGGCTCTACATTATTCAATCCAGAGCAAAAATAAATCTGCAGCCGACGTCCGTGCAGATCGAGACACCACCAAACCAGCACCGCCCTATTTTCTTCCTGGTATTGTAAGCAGGATGTTTCCCTTACGGGGAGGGAGAGTGCATGTACTCAATTCCAGACACTGGGATATTTTTTGTGTAGGTGATATTCGCGTGTGAGTGCAAGCACGGTGATGCGTCAGACACCTACCTGACTGACCAAAACAAACCACACATCTTCAACAACACCCTCCCCCTCCCCATGTCTTACTTACCCAGAGCTCTGGCCACTGCCAGGAAAGGGATCTGGTCGATGACGGTGCTTCTGCGGACCGGGCCGTTGTGGGTGAGTCGCGGTCTCTTCCACACCACACGGTTCACTCCCGACTTGTTAATGACACTGGAGGGAAGCCAAGAAGCCGACAATCAAATACGAGGAAAAGGTCGGCCCCCACAGCCCCTCCCTGGGCAGTCGCACACCAACCCTCTTACCCACCCCGCGTCCCGGTTAAACTCACCAACAGACTGAGGAGAGTTTGTCTTCAAAGTGCCCGAGCAGCACAATGTGAATAAGTTCACACAAATCTCTCAATAGGGCTGGATGGAATAGTCTACAGAACAGGCATTGGATCTGGGGTTACAGAAGCCCCAGAGATCTTCATAACTCGGCCAGCATCGTTCACTCACCTCCCCCCGAGCCCCTCGATCCGTTCCTTTTCCTTCGGCAGCTCGGGCTTGTGATCCTGGGTCACCTCCACGGCCTGGACGCCAGCGGGGTCGTCCTGCACACCGATCACCACGCCAGAGTCCCCCACGTGGGCCACGTACATCTTGTCCCGGCAGATGATGACCACGCTGGCGGTAGTGCCCGACGTGCTGGGCAGCCCCGTCAGTGTCTTCGGCCACTCGGCTGCAAGAGGACAACACAGAAACCCGGTCACACCAACAGACAACAGCACTGACCCAGCGCTGCACATGTTTAACAAACGAATCCTTTACAGAGAGTGCAAAGGGGGTTGGTGGGGCGGTGGGGACAAGGAGATGGGTCTTGAAAGCAGAGGGTAGAATTCAGGGAGTCTCAAGAGAATGGGCGTTCCACCAAAACATCATTTCCTAATTGCTGTGCAACCGCAGGGATATCTGCGGTCAGCCATTTTTTAGAGACAGGATTAATAATAATCCTTGCATTTGATACAGCGCCTTATCACATCTTCGAGACGCCTCAAAGCCCTTCACAGAACACACTGTGAAGTGTACTGACTGTATTGTGTGGGCGGAACACGCCAGCCAATTGCGTTCAGCAGTGTCCCACAAACAGTCGCGGATTGAGTGGATTTTTTTGGGGGGAAAAAAATGCTTCGAAGGGATTATTGCCCTCGGAAAAGCCATCCGCCAATCGTCTAGTAATCGGGTTCCTACTTATTGCTCGATAAGCTGCGGCGTGTGGAGTATTCCTTACACAATATTTGCCAATATATCTTAACATTTTAGCAAAGTGAGCTCCAATCTTTGCACATCTTACAGCTGCTCTATATGACGCCCCTTGTGCCTCTCCTCGGTGTCCATTATTTACATACGCCTTCAACGTGCCTCCCCCCACCCCACAATATCTTGCAGGTTTGAATATTTAAGCAGTCCACTCTTACGTTTGCTAACGTTCCTTCTAAGGCGCTCAACGAGTGCCGTGCGGGCGACTGCGTGTCGTCGGTCGGGAATACGAGTTGCGTTTTGTGTTTTAACGGGGGGGCGGTGAAACGGTCGGGCGAGACCCGCCTCGCCGCAACAAAGAGAGGAGCTTGGAAGGCATGGCGAGGGTAACCCGCAAGCGCAGTCGGCAATGCTCCGGCTTCTCTTCAGATCGTAAAAAGCTTTCGCCTTTTTACTAAAGATTTCCGCGGAGAGGAGCGGTCAGGAGCTTTCGCCTCAATTTTTTTAGGCTCTGCTTCGGTGGAGCTCCCTTTCCAATGAAAAATAGAACGTAATGCACTTCCTTTGGTCAACCCCCCCCACCCCTGATCCCAATCCCGTACCCTTGATCCCATACACCCCTCACCCCCACCCCCAGCTTGGGTCCATTATCCCTCGCTGTCCAACAGAGGTACAGAAACCGAATCCACGTTTAACGCTGAAGCGATAATGTGATTGTAGTAAGAGGCAGAACTCACACAGGGTCAGCGCCATCCATGTTTGCTTCGTGGCAAGGCACACGGGGAGCATTTTTTTTTTACGGATCCAATTTCCTGGATCGTATAGCCCACCCCCCCACCCACCCCACGCCATCTCTCTCTCACACACACACGCACGCGCGCGCGCGCGCTCACAAACACGATACGGCAAACATGGATAAGCGTTCACATATTTTTATTTAAAAATATAGATATCTCGCTGAGGAGCGCTTGCATTTCAGATAAAGCGAGCAGGAAGCAGCGTGCACACTTTGGGGTGGGCTCAGCTGTGAAGCTCTATCAATAAGTCTCAGTTGGTGCTGGTGCCATTTGATTACGACTTGGCGAGCTCAGCACGCACACACACCTCCCACTGCATGCCTCAACACGATACACAGAGCAGGTGGAGCAAGCAGGCAAACCGCCAGCCCTGGAGCAGGTCGTTCGTTGTTCAGACTTCCCCCCTTGTACTCTATGTCACCAGAGACTATAATACCCAACTATAATACCTGGGACATTGTGAATGGCTGGTGTTAGAATCTTTCACACGCATGTCCTGCAGGTTTTATTTGTTCCCTTTTTTTAAAACCAATATCAATTGCACGGTTACACCTTTAACCATCATGTTAATGAAACCACAGTATACAGAGTACATGACTAGAGTGCTCTATCAACTGCAAGGATTGTTGATTTATTAATCATTTATATTATTATTATCAGGCATCTTTTGAACTAAGCGTCACTATAACAATCAACATTAGCTGCACCTTTCAGTGAGACTCCCTCCCAGTCGTCTGCCATTCCACAGCTGAACCTGAGACTGATCAGCAAGCAGATAGGTGTCATTAGTTGAAAGCCGGTATTAAGAGGAAGTAAACCGCCAAACACAGGTGGGGGGGTAGATAAAAGAGTTTGATGTTCAGCCATTTGTACAACTCTAAAGGGTGTTCTGCAAAATGTTCGGCAAGTTTCCTTACTCCACCGCCTCTGTTTACCTAGCAGTAAGTTGGAACCCGGTTGTTAGTCGATTGGCGGATCGCTTTTGCGAGGATAATAATCCCTCGAAAAACAATAAAAATGATAATAATTTGGTCACTCAATCCAAGACTGTTTGTGGGACGCTCCTGTGCGCAATTGGCTCCTGCGTTTCATCCACAAGATATATCAAATGCGAGGATTATTATATTATAAACTCTACACGGCTGTTTGTGAAGCACGGACTCTGCACTCGGTTGTTTATGAAACAATCGCACAGCACTGCCAGAGCCGGGTGGACTTCCCCAGAATAGTTAGCATCAGCAATCAACAATCATGCTGCCTACAACACTGAAAAGTCCCAGAGTCTCCGAGGGATTACTCTCAAGTGCAGCAACTGTCCTTTTGTAGGCAAACACAGCAGCCAAGCTACACAAAGCAATCCCACAAACAGCCATGACCAATTTAGAGAACCATAGAAATTTACGGCAGAGAAGGCAGCCATTCTGGCCCTTCGTGCCTTTGCTGTTCCCTCAAGAGCAATGCTTTCATTCCCACTTACCTGCCCTTTCCCCATACTCGTGTGTGTGATGTGCATGGATGTGGGTCTCTCCCTCTGGATATGTGTGAGTGTCTCTGCATTTTTGTTAAAGAAAGCATTAATAAATTGTTTTTTGTGCAACAATCTATGATGTGCTACTTTTACATGTTTTGTTTTTATCAATAAAGTGAAAAAAATGTAGGTTAGCAGTAAAATGCGCCTCTCAATAGCACTAATCAACTCCCTGCAATTTTCCACAAAATGTGCCAAAATTTCCCCACAACTTCTGGCAAACATTTCTGCAATTGTCTATTGGCCCTGTTTATATCCCCTCTTGGCCTGTCAAATCTTGTTTTTTGCTTCCCTTCCATATTATCTATATGCCCAATTTTCTTTTGTATTAGATCTTTGCATTAATCGCATGCCTCGCTTTTAAGTATTACTTCCATTTTAATTTCCTTACTCACCCAAAGAATCCTTTATTAATTGTGGGCATAGGGCCTATTTTGTGTGCCAGCCTAACTCAGAGGTAGCACTATCACTTGAGGAAGAAAGTTGTGGGTTAATTTGTAGGTTCAAGCTCACACTTGGACTTTGAATCACAGTCTGAGCTGACAGTTCAGTGCAGCACTGAGGGGGGGGGGGGGGCGGTGTTGCATTGTCAGAAGTGCTGTATTTCAGATGAGATGTCTTGACAACATAAGGCGCTATATCAAATGCAAAGAATCTATTTTATTATTTTTTAATCTCATACCGTTATGGTCACAGTTTCCTAACTGCTCCCCCCACCCCAACCACACACACACTCTCTTGTGACTCACTTGCCTCCCTTTATTTCCTAGAAGATTAAGAACCGCTTTCTTCCAAGCTGGACTGGAAACATAGTGCGAAGGGCTCAGCTCGGCTGACACCAGTATTTGCAATAATGTCAAGAATTCTGCATGTCCGCGCTGCTCTGTTACACGTAGGCTACCCTCCAGCTTATATGTCACATTCTCCATGAGACTGTGTTTAAGGCAATGTATTAAGCGATGTTAGTATTGAGACCAAGATAACACCATTCTGAAATGACAAGCTGGATGGAGCTCTGGCTTCATGCAAAATATTTTTCTTTTGTCTCTTTCAGCTCATGAACCAGACAAAAAAAGAATTACGAGTTGAATAAGGGCTCTGGAGCACAATGGAAGTTGTTTGTGAACGCTCTTGGACAGATGTCAATTGCTAGGCAGCAAAACCAGCAAGGAAGGAAGGTTTATTGCAGTGATAAAAATTCATGGTGCACACAGGATACACAGCCACCAGATCAAGGAGCAGAAGATTTCATTTTGTCTGTGGTGAAGCTATAGACAGTCCACTGCTGCTCACAGTTTACCCCGATCCAAAGTAAAGTCCCTGGGGGAAGGGATTCTTCCCACTCAGTTATTATACCTGCAAGCCAAAGCCCAAATGTATATGGTGTCCCTAGCCATATAAGCAGTGTTCTCAATGACAAGCTGTGCAGTTTTAGCTGCACACCAACACACTCTCTGGGTTCCCTTGCACCAAATATTCTCCAGAATTATTAAGCATGGTGCGTCTTTCCAGGGAGAGTCATTGCGTTTCAAACACAGAAAAATCTCCAGGTTAGGTGGCGTACATATGTGGAACTCTGGTTTGGATACTCTTTAAGCACGGTGATGATTTCCACGTCAGACATGTAAAAGCACCCTGAGACGCTACTCAGATGAAGGGCGCTATATCAATACAAGTTATTGTGTGTATTTGGTAGGCAAATATGGCAGCCAATTTGCACACATCAATGTCCCACAAACAGACATGACGTAAATGACAGATTCTACCCAGAGGATTGTTGGCTTGAACAACTGGAAAATCTCCCTACTCTTTTCAAATCTATGTTATGGTATTTTATCATCTACCTGAACGGACAAATGGAACAGTCCGGATTAACATCACATTCGAATAACTGCACTCTTTTGAGCTCTGCCTCCCGTACCTCACTGGTTATCAGCCAATACTGTGAGCTCTAGTCCCTGTGAACTCAAGCCTGTGTCTTGATCCCACAGACTCTGTAAAGCACTTCGACATGTTTCAGCATGATAACCCATATCAAATTTAAGGATTATTATTTATTACCCCAGCACCTTCTGTGTGTTCATCAGGTGGACATTAATATTGCTGTGATATCAATCTTTACACAATGATATTTGCACATACGGTAGGCTCGTTCATTCCAGAGCACTCTGACTTCATGTCAGATCGCTAGTTTGCAGAGACAGGTAGAGACTCCCCTTCAGGTGGGGTGTCGCCGGTTGCCAAGTCCTAAGTTACCAGTTACCTCTGGAAACAAACCAAATTGGTCATTCACCAACCACAAGGCTGCTTGTAGCATCTTGCTGCCTGCAAACTGGCCGCCACATACATCGGCCTACAAATAGTCATTTCATTTGAAGAAATTACTTGCAGAAGTGCCAAGACGTTTTTGACAGAATGGATCAGCATTCGTTTTTTGCGGAGTAACATTACAAAGCAGCTCTGGGCTACCGCTAATCAGCTCTGCTCCGCTGAGATCTTCCGTATTGTTTGTTTATTTTGACTGCAGATCCGACACCACACATTGATCTGCCCCATGAGGAGTCCTGAATGATGTAGCTCTGCAGTTGACGGTAACTGCTGAGGCTGCTGTTCCAGGCGACTTATGAAAGAAGGACCGTGAAATCCCATTCCGCGCGTGATATCCGAGATTTACAGCCTCTCTGCAATCATCGCACTGTGAGTTGGGAGCAATAGCTTGTGTTTTATTCTAATCACGTCATTGTAACAGCCTACGGTTCCGAACAGCAGATAAAATGGGAATAGACGATCGTTTTCTTGCTGTCCCAACAAAGATAAGAGAGGAACAAAGGTGCTCTATAGAAAAGGCAACACCGAGTGAACGCTGCCATCAACTGTTCTGTTCCAGTTCATTGTGTTGCTCAACATGTTGCAACTCAGAAGCTGAGCAGGATCCTGTCCAGAATTGAGTGAGTGCGTGTGTGCAAAACAAGCTCGAGATAAGGCTGCCCATTCACCCGTTCAGCCGGAGAGAAAAAAAACAGGCGGATCGAGAGGATTTTTGAAGCCACGCTCTCGCACCAGTGATAGACCAGCGCCCGTTAAAATCTAACATTCCGTCCACAAAACACGTACACCTCGCAGTGTGCCCCGCGAAGCGCCGCGAGACGGGCGCCTTGGAAGACGCGCCAGGGCGCTGTATCGAATGCCAGGCTTATTATTGTTAGCGACGTGGTGGGGTGTTCTGTGCAGCACTAAACTGTACTAAAACATAGCGACAATGGTGGAGGGTGATGCGGAGGGAGCGAGGAAAGGCCATGAATGTTTCCTCCCTTCTCAAGGGATGTACAATAAACATCGCCAGCCCGGCTACCGTACGGTAAAAGCCTGAAGCGAAGGAAGGGCCCGTCCTCTCGTACGAAAATCTCTTTTATCCCCTCTGAGCACATTGTTCGCGGCTGCAGGTCAGTCCCTGGCAACCCGTCGCCAAGCAGCGGCCCTCGCAACAGCGGGGGTCTCCCTCCCGCAATCACGTCACCGGTGTCCGCCTGTCCCACCCCCTCCTTCGCTCTCGTTAGCCAGAACGCTGACGAGGATGCTGATAGACTGCGAGCTGTCAGTCAGGCGGTCTCCCCCCCCCACCACCCCCCACCCCACGGTGCAACTCGGAACACGTACACGCGCAGCTCGAAAATCCTCCAACAGCCCCGACAGCAGACACTACACATCGCACAGCCCCGTATCCCCCCCCCCCCTGACAGCCGCCACACCACACACACACACACACCCTAAACCACAGTCAATCCTGTGTGTGTGGGGCTGTGTGTGTGGGGGGGGGGGGGAGGGGGGCTGTGTGTGTGCGCGTGTGTGTGTGTGTGTGTCTGTCTGTGTGTCTATCTGTCTGTCTCTGTGTGTGTGTGTGTGTGTGTGTCTGTCTGTCTGTGTGTGTGTGTGTCTGTCTCTGTGTGTGTGTATCTGTCTGTGTGTGTGTGTGTGTCTGTGTGTGTCTGTCTCTGTGTGTGTGTTTGTCTATCTGTCTGTGTTTATCTGTCTGTCTGTCTGTCTGTGTGTGTGTGTCTGTCTCTGTGTGTATCTGTGGGTGTGTGTGTCTGTGTGTGTGTATCTGTGGGTGTGTCTGTCTGTGTGTGTCTCTCTGTGTGTGTCTGTGTGTGTGTTCACATCGGTTTATAGCTGATTTGGGAGCCGCCGCTTTCCCGCCTTCACAATAACCGTCACTGCATTTAAAATAGGCGGCTCTGACCAGGGCCCCGGGACTGGGCCAACCGGGGGCGCGGGGACATCATTACAATATACCCTGGGCTGGGGGGGAGGGGGAGGAAGGTAAAGGTGGGGGGGGGGGGGTGAGGAAGGTGAGGGGGGGGTGAGGATGAAGAAGGTGAGGAGGGTTTGAGGATGAGGAAGATGAGGGGGGGGGTTGAGGATGAGGAAGGTGAGGTGAGGGGGGGGGTTAAGGATGAGGAAGGTGAGGGGGGTTGAGGATGAGGAAGGTGAGGTGAGGGGGGGGTTAGGATGAGGAAGGTGAGGGGGGGTTAAGGATGAGGAAGATGAGGTGAGGGGGGGGGTTGAGGATGAGGAAGGTGAGGTGAGGGGGGGGTTGAGGATGAGGAAGGTGAGGGGGGGGTTGAGGATGAGGAAGGTGAGGTGAGGGGGGGGTTACTCACGAAGCTCTTTCCACATGGCGTAGTGACAGGCGATGAAGCCTTTGCGGATGGCGCCGCTGAATTCCTGCGGGTCCTCGGACAGGAAGCCGCGCTGCTTCTTGATGCATTTCCACAGGTTGTCGCGGGCGAACACGGCCGCCTCCCGGCCCCCGTGGCCGTCAAACACGGCGAAGAAGGCCACCCCGGCCCGAGGCTCGGGCGGCCCGCGCTCCCAGGCCCCGCCGGTGCCGGTGGCGGCGGCGGCGGCGGCGGCTTCTCCTTCGCCCTCGGCCTCGGGCTCCAGCACCACTTGGGTCACGTCCTCCATGTACTTCCTGCCGCCCTGGTCCGAGTGGACGCTGACCCGCAGCGAGAACAGACTGCGCTCCGGCTCCATGGCTGCAACCCAACCCCGCGGCTCGGGGGGAGGGCCTACCGACCGCCGGCCTCCCGCTCGCTCACCACCCGGCGACTGGACTGGACCGCACCGCACCGCTCCCTTCCCTTCCCGCCCTCTTCCCGCCGTTTTCCCGCCGCCGCAGTCGGGGAGAGGAGCCGCCGCCGCCGCCGCCCCGGGTCTTGTTTACCCTTCAGTTGTTTGGGCAATGCCCCGGAACGTAGCCGTGCGTCACCGCGTCGCGTCACGTTACAACGCGCACAGCCGCGGCACGTCGGCCCCGCACGTGATCACGCCACACAACAGCAACAACAACCACCACCACCAACAACAACAACAACACCAACAACAACCACCACCAACAGCAACAGCAACCACCACCACCAACCACCAACAACAACAACAACAACAACCACCAACAACAACCACCACAACAACCACCACCACCAACAACAGCAACAACAACACCACCAACAACCACCACCACCAACAACAACCACCAACAGCAACAACAACACCAACAGCAACAACAACCACCACCAACACCACCACCACAACAACAACCACCAACAACAACCACCACAACAACCACCAACAACAACAACCACCAACAGCAACAACAACCACCACCACCAACAACAACTACCAACAACAACAACAACCACCACCACCAACAACCACCACCAACAACAACCACCACCAACAACAACCACCAACAGCAACAACAACTACCACCACCAACAGCAACAACAACTACCAACAGCAACAACAACAACCACCACCAACAACAACAACAAACACCAACAGCAACAACCACCACAACCACCTGCCTTCAGATTTGGCCATGCAATTAATATTCATATGAAATTTACCAAAACAAGTAATAATAATAATAATATGGTTACTACTCACTCACCAATCCACCACCTGTTTTGTGGGGCACCACCGTGTGCAATGGGCTGCCCGCAAAACACACAGTCACTACGCTTTACTGTCTATTCTGTGAAGCGCTTTGAGACGTCTCTATCTCTACCGCTCTCTCTCTCTCTCTCTCGAAAACGTGATAAGGCGCTATATCAAATACAAGGATTATTATTGTGATGATCTGTTCAAATGAGCGTTAACAATCAGACAGGATTCGTCTCCAGGACACGATCCAGTGCGTCCTGTTTGACAACGCACATGTGAACGTTCAGTGGGTTGGACTTGGCTGTGATTACCCTGCAGTTGGATAGTCAGCCAACACTACCTGTCCTCCCAGCCTTGCATTGCCTGGAACCAAATCCCCTGAATGAGACGCCTCTTTCAAGATAGGAGAGGAGAAAATGGGAGTCTTAACTCATGATTTCCAAGAGGCAATAAAAATGCAAATGGATTAGAGAAATCAAACACCCGTTCTCGTTGACAGCATTTTATTGCTTCAGCATTGAATACAGAGACTGAGCAATGTACAGAAAGCAAAGCTCACAAAGGCCTAGCGAGTCAGTCACAGATTACTGCAACAAAAACAGAGATCGCTGGGAACACTCAGCAGGTCAGGCAGCCTCTATGGAGAAAGCAAAATGGGTCAACGTTTCGGATCCATAACCCTCCGTTAGAACTGGGGGGTGTTGGGAGGGAGAGGTCTTAAGGACTAACGGAGAGGGGAAGTGGGGCAAGGAAGATAAAGAAGAAAATGGGGTGGAGGACAGGGGTTGGAAGATTACTGCAGTTCTGGCGAGAGATTCTCACAACACCAAAGTTCAAATCGAGCAAAAGCTGGGTTTGTTATCTGATAAAGATTAATAAACATTTGTTGGTGCAGTTCAGAGAAAATACACGCAAGAGTAGAGCAAAACCACAGGGATCAGAGTACAGTCGGGGAGGAGATGTGAAGTTTACGAGAGAAAATCATCACTGAGCCATCTGTTGCAGCGAGTGGTTATAAAAAAGGGATCTGGTGAGATTTAGGAAGAGATGGCCAGAACTGGTTGGCTGGTGAAGGAGGCATCAAAGAGAGACAGCAACAACAAATTGAAAGGAGGAGAGGGTGGGGGTGGTGAGATCGAACTAACACCCACCAGAGCACTATACAATGGAATGGACTCTTCCAGCAAATCACTACTGACAGGCTGGAGATAACGTTCCTAAATTTAGATTGTTCTAGATTGTTGCTCGGGGAGACTCAATGGCTTCAATGATTCAGAGCCAGATGCACAGAGTCTAGTCTGTCTGGGTTATGACCTTTGTCCAACAGTGTGTTGGAAGCGCGGCAGGCTAAGCTAAGCGGGCACAACCTTGTTATTGCCCCCTTCGGAGACTGTGGTGGCTTCAGTCCGGCTGCCGCTCGCGCTGCTGGACGTGGTGTCTTCATCGCCTGTAAACGGATTGCGCCCACAGCACATCAGGCTCAGGAGACAGTGCCGGAACTGGATGGGCAAACAAAAAACTGAGGTCACTTAAAGCGCAATCCTTTTTGTTTGTTATTGACCTAAGACAACCTATGCACCTCAGTCTTGAAAATGTTAATGGATCCAGCCATCCACAGCCCTTTGAGGGAGGGAAAGAGTTCCAGATTTCCACTACCTCTTTGGGCGAACAACTGCCTCCTAATTTCACGGAGCAGAGAGAGAGAGCAAGATCTCCGTCCTCAAGAGTGAGAGGCAGTTGCAGGGGAAGCAATGGACCAGCAGGTGGAGACTCACCAAGGGGCTGCTCGGCAGCCTTGTTACAAACACTTCACATCAGCACAGCGCCCCCCCCCAGTGGCACTGAACAACACTGTGGCTGGTTGAGACCAGCCTGTCTATCCATCCACTTCAACATTGTTGGTCTAAAACTCAACAGCAACACACAAATGCAAGGATTATTATTATTATTATTATTATTAACCCTGTCAGTCCAATCCCCATGTGTACTTTTGGATGGGAGCTGGAGGATGTGTTTGTGTATGGGGGAGAGGGAATATAGCTGGAATGGGCATTGGGGAGAGAGGGGATGGAGTGATGTACAAGTACAACATAGGAAACATTAACCAGGTATAAGTCATGTGGTCACTGGCGTGGGGGAAGGGAGAAGCCACGGTGAAGGACTGACCATTACCTGTTTGTTCATGAAGATGTAGATGACAGGGTTGTAGACAGTGGCTGTCTTTGAGAAGTAGGAGGGCATGGAGGCCAGAGTGGGATGGATGACAATGTCCTTGTTAATAGCCACCACCATGGCGAAGGAAGTGTAGGGCAGCCAGCAGACCAGGAACGCCCCCACCATCATCACCACCATGCGGGTCACCTCTCGCTCCGCTCGCTGCGTCGTTTCCGACTCTTTCTGTTGCTTAGCGACCTGCAGAGCAACAGAAACGAAACTCACACCTTGTGCTGAGCTCTGATGGGTCAGACGAGGGATGTGATATGGTGTATCTATAATGATCATGATCCTTTCATTTGATACTCTCTATCTTGCAGGCGAATACGGCAGCCAATTGGCACAGAGCAAAGTCCCCACAAACAACCATGGAGTGAATGACTTAACTGGGGGAAGGGGGAGAACCTGTCTTGACTGCTCGCTCTCCTTTGTACCCTGAGGTATGGACATTGGGTGATTGGATTGAGCAGTGATGCTTCCACGGTGGAGGTGAGACACCAATCATTTTGTCTAGTCTCTAGGCTCAAACCTGAAGAACGGCCATTGAGATGAGGTGCTGGAGGATGGCTGCCATGTCTGGAACCATAACCCAACTAGGAACCATATCACAACAAGGAACTAGACCCCAACACTATACCCAGCAAGGTGTCAATGTCTGTGGAGAGGAGGGGGTGACTAAGGATGGGGTGACATTGGGAACGAAGAGTCCTGTTACTCACAGCTCGCAGGACCACCAGCAGACTGGCATAGGAGAAGATGATTAAGCTGAGGGGCAATGTGAAGCAGGTGATGAAGAGAGCGACCACGTAGCTGCTGTTGTTGGCTCCCCCTGTGTACCAGTTGGGGCCACATGATGTTCTCAACCCTAACAAGAAAGGAGATTTGATTGTCAGTGAATTGATGGATTCTTGGGGAGCAGAATCAAATAATAAAATAATAATAATAATACTTCCGTTTGATACACTTCTTCGAGACATCTCAAAGGTCTTCACAGAATACACTGTAAAGTGAATTGCCTTTTTTTTTCTGGGAGAAGCTCGGCAGTCAATTAGCACAGCAGTGTCCCACAAAGAGTCGTGGATTCAGTGACCAAATTATTATTAATAATTTTTTTGAAGGGATGATTACCCCCGGAAACATGATCCGCCAATCGACTAACAACCGGGTTCCTACTTACGTCTAGGTAAACAGAGGCGTGTGGAGCAAGGAAACTTGCCTAACGTTTCACCCTGTGCGGGAATCAAACCAAGGTCCTCTTGCTTGCGAGGCGAGTGCTCTAACCACTAAGCTGTAGGACTCCACAGTGCTGTATTTTGTGAGCGAACCCTGCAGCCAATTTGCACACAGCAGCGTCAGACACACACAAAAGCAGGCTCGGACTCACCCTCGGGCACATAGCTGCACCAACCAAAGAGGGGCGGCAAGGTCCAGAACAGGGACCACAGCCAGGTGAAGAGGCAGCCCCACACGGCGTGCTTCTGCTGGAAGCGGAAATCACCCATTGGTTTGCAGATCACAATGTATCGCTCGAACGCCAGAATGGCCAGCGACCACAAGCCCACGATACCTGTCGGCAAAGAGAGCACAACGTAAGAGCCAGCGCCTGACTGCAACCCTCACAACAGAATTTCAGCTGGATTTCCAGGGGACATCTATCTGTGCGGGTGCCCGCAAGCAATGGCAATGGACAGTATCCTTCTTCAATCCATCACCATACTTAAGAGTAACTAAACCAAACTGAGAATTCCATGCATCCGACCTACACATGGAAATTCCAGAAATGTGATTCTTGGAATGGAACGCGCTCTCTCTCTCTCTCTCTCTCTCTGAAGGGACACATCCTGCTTATTTAATCAGGAAAGTAAAACGGCATAGCTTGGCATTGAGAGCAATGTCTGGCGAGCTTTCCCACCGCTTGTTCAGCTAGGAACCTACTCTACCCAATAGGGCTTTGGTTTGCAAGTTTAACGGAAGCTGAGTGGAAGGATTCCTTGGCCCCAGTAACTGGTCTGCTCTTCCAAGTCCTGCCAATGAGCCGGGCTGGGCTGTGCTGTAATCAGCAGCGCTCTAGAATACTGCAGATCTCCTTGGAACCAGACTAGAGACTGCCCCAGAGGGTGGGCTCGATTCCAACATTCTGTTGACAGTTCAGCTCCAAGGAGACCCTCCTTACTTCCCCCCCAAGGAGGATTATCACACATCCCTCTGTACTCTCTGCTCCATGATCCCATCATCCTCACCTCCTCTGCCCACCAACCGTAACCCCACTCTCTGTAACTTTCTTTACCTCACACCCATCTCTCTCTCTCTCTCTTCCAAAACCTTCCTTAAACCTACTCTCGTCACCACCCTGAACACCTCGTTGCCAGCCTTCTGGGGATGCACTCTCTGTGTAAAGCATTTTGAGATGTTGTCCTCGGAGCACACGGGTGTTCTGAGATGCTACTCTGCATGAGGGGCCGCTATATAAATGCAAGTTTTGTTGTACCTGTCAAGGAGACCATGAAGCCTTCGAACTGGCAGACGGTTTCTCCGAGCACGAAGTAGCCATTGATGTTGTTGGAGAAGCTGACGGTGCTGCCGAAGAAGGTGACCAGCAGATCAGCAATGGCCAGGTTGACCAGGATGTAGTTGAGCGGAGATCTGAGCTTCTTGTATTTGATGGACACCACGATGACCAGCCCATTAACAAAGGAGGCCAGAATCACCACGGTGCCCATCAGAGTGGCCACCGCCATGTAGGTGCTTTTGGGGGCAAAGTAAGGCCATTGGGGACCGTCAAAAGCACCGACGGTCCCGTTCTCAATCCCCACTGACGTGGTGGGAAGATCCATTGCCTTCACGGACTGTTGGGTTAATGCTCTCAGCGGAGATCGAGCAGCCTGGTCATTGTCGGCAGCATGTGGGCAGCAGCATGTGGTAAAGTCCCATTATAAAGGACCGAGGCTTTACACCTCCATCGATAGATCCTTTTTACCTGAGCCCTAATCTTTCATTACACCCACTCCAGCTAATCAAATATTTCAGAGGGATTTAGTCTAAAAGGCTTTCACTGATCAGGCCTCCAGCTCTTTCCAATAATTAGGTTTTGAGCATTAGCTCAAAGATAATACAATAATAATAATAATACTTGCATTTGATACAGCGCCTTATCACGTCTTCTCAGACGTCTCAAAGCGCTTCACAAAATATGCTGTAAAGTGAATTGACTGTATATTTTGTGGGCAATACATCCGAAAATCCAAAGAAGGAAAATTCCCCAAGTTTCCAGACTCTCAAATGCTCGGATTAATATAGTCCTCACTTCCTGTGTTTCTGGTTGCCCTATAGTACCTCTCCCAGGGAGTATTAGCCCTGTGTGCCAAAGATAGGTAGGTTTTTAAGCACTCCGGGACACTACCCCATGCGAAGGGCGCTATATAAGTGCAAATTGTTGTTGAAGTTGTTATTTTAACCAGGCGTGGGGAGGGGCTGCTGTTGTTTCCTGATCTCCACACACGTATACCTTCAGTACTGGCCACCAAACAGGGCTTGGGTGGGAATCCAGGCACTTTCACATAGAAGCCAAGATTTTCTCCAGATGAGGGCAGCTATCTCTGCCCAGACCAGGAATTGTGAGGGATGAAAGAAAGAGACCAATCCCCATGTCAGGACAGCTGCTGTGTTCATGCTCTTACAGGTGCCGAGGTAATGAGATTGAAGGGGCAGCGGTTAGACTCAAGACAGAGACTGATCGGCTCAGGTCGCTCAGGGAGCTGACTGTAAGTAGGTTAAGCTCCCACACTGGCTCCTTGGCCAGGCTATCAGCAACAGAATGTCACCAGAGGGCCCCGGAGGAAGAGTGTTCGAGTTTCGGGGACACTTTACATACTGTACTGTGAAGGGTAGTGACTGTTTTTTTTGTGGCGAACACAGTAACCTGTTTTGGGCACAGCAATGTCCCACAAACAACCATGCCACTCTCTAAAACCATGTTGGCCGTTATTCATGAGATTATTTTTCTACAAATTTCCATTCATGAGGTCAGGCTAATAAATGTGTATGGTTCTCTCATCTTTCGTGAACACATACACATACACACGCACACATACACAGCCTAACCCACATACAGAGCCTCTCTCACGCTCTGTTGTACACAGTGAGTGCCATCCTCTGACTCACTGAGGTGAACAGCTCCACTAAAACTTATATTGCTTAGTGTGCTAATAAAACACCCGCTGTAAGCCAGTGGCAGAGATCCTCACAGACTTTGACTTGCTTCAAAATCGTCAGCTTCCACATTAGAACAACAAATCTTTCTGGCGACTGTGAATTCTGATTGATTTGTGGCTCAAACGTCTTATAGTAGTTATTACACAGAAGGGGTACTATAGGGTATATATATAATATATAAATATATATATTACAATAATTTATATATATATATATAACAGGAAGACAAAGGAGAAATGGCTGTCAGTGAAATAAGGCAGTGTTGTGTAATTGCTAAATGGAAGCTTTTCTTATTTGCTGAAAGCTCCTTTGTTCCTTTAATCCACACCTCGCGGTTTAAAGGTTAATTAAGTTTATTACTGCACTAAGCTCCGTGAGCCAAAGCCCCCCATCTTCGCCCAGCTTCACTGGCTCCCCATTCCCCCAGAGAATCGAGTTTAAAATCCTTGTCCTCACCTTTAAAGCTGGTGTCAGTCACTCCTGTTACTCAGCTCGTGTGAACGGTCTCATTGGTTTCTAAGTGTAACTGAACTAGACTGGACCTGGGAACTACATCGCATCAGTCAGAGAGAATAAACCTTCTTGTCTAGCTCTGCTTGTTTAACCCAAAGCCTGGAGAAAACGAGACAGTAAGAAGGTGAGACTAAATAAAGCCCTTCAATTCTGAGCAAGAAAGGGAAAATTGAGCCCAGTGAAGAGAAGGGGAAATTCTTCCCTGTACAGGTCATGATGTCAGCATATAAAGCTCCAGCATATAAAGCAACGAAGGGAAATGCCATCCTCTGACAGAGACAATGGTACAGATATAGAGGAGCAGAAGAGCCCCATGTTAAAAACAGAAAGGCAAGCTTTCCCAGTAAGTTACAAGTTACAGGGTAAGATGATGCCTCATTAATTGCAGCGCTTCCAACCCCACAAATGCTGCTTGAACAGCGGTTAAGAGATTGTTAAGCGATATACCCAATCCCACCCATAAACATGAAAGGTCAGTCGACACAATAAGCTTTTTGACATTTGTTATTGAGTATTGTATGGCATAATCTTAAGTCACTTCTGCCATCTCAATGCCACGAATCATTGCTTGACTCGCCTTGAGCGCATATGTAAGGCTGTTGATGATTGGACACTAAATCAGAGGGAGCTCCAAAAACCTTGATTTTGATAGATCTATTTATCTTACGTGATGCATTTGATTTTTGTTCAGACTGATCTTCGAGATGCAGGCTTGCCAGCCAAGCTCGGAGCAAATATACTGCTCATTGATTGGGAGGAAATATATCACCACTTGTCCAGTTTGGGGTGCTGGAGGGACCATTTAATAGAAATGGAGCTGTCGATATTTGGCGTTGAGAACATATCCCTGAGGCGATACAGAGCAGGATTCACAACTGTCGACAAGACTGCAGGAACCCGAGAGGAAGTCACAAATTTCCCTACCTCAACAAGGAATCTTTTCACTCATCAAATTCAGGGATATCATTCCTGGGGAATGAGTCCCTTTCCCATCTCAGCTGTCTCGTGTTAGTGTCAACGGGTCAGGTACAGGGTAGGTCACGTGAAACTCCCTCCGCTCTATCCAAACATTTGCACTTTAACCTCAGAAAATCATCCTCACTGACAAGTGGGACTCAACACCAAGTGCCAAATTATTACAGGTCTATGAACGAGGGTAAAAATGACCCAACGATTAACCTCAAAGCAAGATAGAAAGAGAAGACTTTCATCCCATCAATCCCTGACATCCTATCTCGCTGCAGGATATCGGGGATTGGTTCCTATGCATAGTGGGATCTTCCGATTAAGATGCATTAATGTCTTAATTATTCCAATGCATGATTTTGCAAACTCTTTCTTCCCCCCCACCTCCCACATTACATATTGGAATATGATAAACTGTCACTCATCAATAATAAACTTTAATAATAGACCTTAAATGAGCAGATCACGATGGTTGAGCTGGAAGAGCAGGAATAACGCACCAGTGGATTTCAAAGATCAACATGTGCAAAGTACATTGACTGTTGATCTGTATCTATAATGGCAAACTACCACTATTTGCATTCTCTATACTTGGCAGCAGGGGAAATAATCCCACAAATGCTTTACCTGGCATGTTAATATTTGCACACAGTTTCAGCTGAACATAAATGATCCAAGCAAAGAATTCCATAGGTATAACTCTCTTTGGTTCTCATTAGCTCCCATTGCTAACCATGCAGGTGTTAACTGTTCTGTGTAGGAGTGGTTGGTCTGCATTGAGATGATGGATAGACAGTGCCTTAAGACTGTGCTGAAGCTGATGGGAGGATGGATTAGGCAAGCAGCACTCAGCCTCTTGTTCCGTTTCCGTTGGCCTCAGCGCTAAGTGGTTGACCTGGAATTGGTTGACCTGCAACCAATAGTAATAACAAACCTCACATTTGATACAGCGCCTTATCACATCTTCGAGACGTCTCAAAGCGCTTCACAGAATATACTGTAAAGTGAATTGACTGTGTGTTTTGTGGGCGAATCGTCTCAATGTTCAGGGCAGCTATTCGCAGTATTGTGAATATACTCAACTCATGATTCCCGAGTTTCCATCGTGCAGGAAATGGGGCTTCTCAGCAAGCAGAAACGTCTTCCCCAGGTAACATGGGCACACACTGCGGTCGTTCAGGAAACCTTCCCGTGCGTGGCGAGGAAAAAAATAAACCACGATCGGTTTGAGGAGGTGGTTTATTCATTTTATTTTAAGTGTAACACTCCAATTCAATGATTTGAGGATCAACACATGATTGGATTTCACATGACATGGGTCCCATAACAAAAGCAACATTCACATGCAGAGTAAATGAGTTAATGAGGCATTACACAGGCAGGAAAGGGCTTCTTGGGATCGGTTTTATACAAGGGGCTGGGGAACGAGATGAGTATGAGAGCCTCTGGTCTACATTCATAAAAAAGGTCAGTAAAACCTTTGTCCACATTTCCATGCACAAATGCCAAAAATACTCAAGACTTCACAAATGCGCTTGTAAATGAGTTGTGAATATAGGACAACATTCCTCAGGTTTTTTTTTAAGTTGAACGATGACCTTTCAAATACAGCCTCATTGGAAACTCAGCAAATGGCCCATAGGTGTCAACTCTCCGGTTCACGATTTCTCACCATTTCCTTTGTCTCCCCACCCAAACTGAGTTCTCAATTCCAGATGAGATGTTTGCAGGTGACGGGTGGAGGAAAAACCAGCTCACAGCTAAGCGCTCCGAGACAATGCCTGGCATGAAGGGCGCTATATAAATGCAAGTTGTTGCTGTTGTTAAAGAGCTGCAGGTGTCTCGGAGGAAGCAGCCTATGGACCGTCTCGTTCAGGAAACGGATGTGGGAAAGCGAGAGGGAGAACACAATGAATGGATCAGTATTTCATGCCCTGTTGTTATCTGCACCATTGGTTGTTTCGTGGGGTGTTTAGGCAGTTTTGCTCTCTCTGGTCTGACGTGAGCGGGTGATCAAATGGGAGTGGGAGGAGGGTCCCACCACAAGGCCCTATGAGCGTTCTCCGAGCAGGGTTCAAGTCAGGAACCAAGCAGAACAGGACAAGTTTCTGTGCTCATCTCTACTCAGTGTGCTGAGGGTGTGACAGGCCACTTCAAGGGGAAGGCGGAAACAAGGGAACTGCAACTCGGGTCAGCCGATGGGTGAAGCCATCTTCAGGTTGAAGAGTTCCCAGAGTCAACAGTAAATGCACTGTTCACAGAAACTGTTGCTATGAGGGTTTGCCAGTTGTTTGCATCTCATGACTTCCGCTCACTCAGGGTAGTGAATTGTTCAGGTTAGCCACCAATTAACTAACAAGAGTGGGAGCTCGGAAAATAACGGGCGAAGCAAGGGTAACAGCTTCTGTACATTTATCTTCTCCGAAATAATTATCACCTCTCTGGAGAAATTATAATTGAGGAACTCATTTAATGTGCCGGCACTTTGATGTCTCAGCAATTTCGCTTACACTGCCAGCTCGGGTAAACGTTGCTGCTTTAAAAGCACTTCTTTAAAGAGGTAGCATGGAGTCAAGAGTGATGGGACGCACGTTTTTTCCAACAGTTCTGCCATGTTTTAACCTGAGCTGGGCTCTATGGGGAGCCTGTGACTCGGGTCAATGGACCAGCCTCTTTGGGATCTTCCTTGAAGCAGCACTAATTGCGGTCTGTGTGCAGACCCGCCACCTGACCCTTATGAACGAAGAGCGGTGCTTGGCGTGTAAGCATACAGGGGCAGCGCGAGTTAGAGGATCAGGATAATCAGGATTGTACAGCACTTGATTGTACATGAGCAGACAGTAAAGTAAGTAACCTGCTATCCCAGACTTTACTCAACACAATCGTCACAGTGTTAGAAGCCGAACAACACCTCACCTGGAAACGAGATGAACATCCACTGTTTAGGATAAACGTCCGATACAATCAGATGGTTTTCAGTTTTTCAAAATAGTGTAAACGTTCTGCGAGCAACTAAACACAGACTTGACTCCTCTCTGGCTCTGGCTTAAAATGCAAGTTATTCCGATGGGACTGTACTTTAAAAGAAGATTTCTAATAAAAAGAAAAGAAGATTTGAAGATAAGGACTACAGTATTGGCCTTCACATAGGTTGCAGGCTGACAGTCTGAGTCAGTTAGCAAATGCATTGCGCTAGTTCCTAGCCACACACTTCAGTGTGTGTGTGTGCTGCCCCCTATATTCACACCAATGTAAAGATAAGCATGTTCAGGGTAGTTTGGGGGTGGGGAGTGTGTGTGGGGTGTGTGGGGTTGGGGGGGGGGGGGGTTGGGTGCACAGAAAGAGAATTAGGTTTCAAAACAAAATGTTCTGTGAGGAGCCTAGTGTTCAGATTCCAAGACCCAGGATTTTTCAAAGATAAATATTTACAGCAGAAGGTTAAAGTCACAATTTGTTACCAAACAAGTCACGTAAAATTAAGATTGTTCAGGGATGTCCACAGAGTTAAAACAATGGCAGGGTTGGATGCAGAGGAAGCGAGAACGGGGCGGGGGAGAAGTGACCATAGGCGGCGTCAAAGAGAGAGGTTCTCAGACTCAATGCAGTCTTAAGTCTTAGGATTAATTTAATTAGCTTTATTGATACACACACCAGCTTTACATTGACTGGATATCTTCAGTGAGTGGTCAATAATCACTCTCAAATCCTCCACTTTAGCTGAACACCCATTTTTCCATTGCGCACACATTTAGAGGTCCTTCTCTGATCCCCGGAATAACCCAGCAATCATTCTCAATCTTTAGCCCATCCAGGCTGTTGGATCACTGGCAGGCAGACCCTCTTAAACACTGTCAGCACATTGACCTATAGTTTTATTCAAAACAAAGTAAAACATGGACGCTTTTACTTGGAAAAGATAAGCGTTCCAGCTATACCCCTTCTGACCGACTGCAGCGAGTGAGCAGAGGACTGAGGTATCCCAGGTCCTCGATGAGGTTCTGATAACAAGCTCTGAAAAGGTGACTCAAAAAAAGTGAGAGCATCGACAGGTTTTGGTTATACAGCACGAGGGAAGGGGAGAATTCACCAGGGCGCTCACACCTGGCAGTTGCTGTAAAGGAGAGGCCGTCACACTCTCTGCCAGCTCTGTCAGCGTCAATTATTTTTTATTAAGAGACAAACACTGTAGCTGGAGGGAAAATTCGCGTGTGGGCAGTATATCCCCAGACACGTCAGTTCCCAGATGCTTCAAGCAGAAAGCGGAGCTGGGGCCTGAGAGTGCAGGTGCACCCCCCCCACCCCTTTAGAACGCTTCACGTCCCAACCAGTCACCTAGATACAATTATAATAATAATAATCCTTGCATTTGATACAGCGTCTTATGACGTCTTCGAGACGCCTCAAAGCGCTTCACAGAATATACTGTAAAGTGAATTTACTGTGTATTTTGTGGGCGGAACAAAATTCTACTTTAAAGGCAGGTTATACATGTGATTATAACTAATTTCCTGTATAATGATGTTACTGACGACACAAGTAACGTTACATAAGTTATTAAAAGATACAAGATCCATCTTTTTCTGCTACACCTATCTGTCACATAATTTCACACAAATTGGAATTCGACTCACCAACCAACCAGCCCTTTTCTATATATTTCAGCTCAATAATCTTTTTTTGGGTGGGGGGCAAGTCAGGCAGCCAAGGAAACCAGGTAAAACAAACAAAAATAGTGTCCAAAACACCTAACGTGTTAATCGTGTTGAATTCCATAGCCCCGTCCGAGGCCAACTTGCTTTCGTCTTGGGAGTTTTCCCAAATGGTTCAGTTTTTAATCAGAGCAGTGCCAAGATGCCAACTGTCCATACATTTGAGTCACGGCGACTGCTTTTGTGTCTATGGGTAGCAAAGATGCGTTTAGATGGACACTCACTGCACCTTTTTCTGACCTGCCGCACACAAGACAAATGCTCTCAACAGCAAATCGCATCAATTATCACTGGGACGCTGTATTCTACTATTCCCCTGTTCACAACCAGAGGCTGGTATAAAAAATACAGTTTCAGAGGCGTAGCTACACATAAACGTCAAAGAGGCTCAGTACTACAGCTCGGCCCTCTTCACTCCCATCAATACGCTCAGAAACAGAGTGACAGAATATAATGAAAATATATTCACATCGATAATCTTTACGCATCAGCTTGACAGCCAACCCGCGGACTGGCAGTGCTGTTAGTTACTTCAATAGAGTGAAAGCCAGACAAAGCCAATCCTACTCTCAACATAATGTACAGAGACAGAGAGAGAGAGAGAGAGAGCATGGAACACAATGACTGGGAAACGGTGAAGTTAGCTAATGAGAGGAGCGCGTCCTGACCAGCTTTCTTCACAGAACCTTAGAAATGACCCGCTTCGAGCTAATGTGGTTTCCATGCGGATGAGATGTGAATTAAGGCTTTAGCATTCGGAACACTTTTACAAAACTGGAATATCAAGAGTGGTAAACTGATGCCCTGGGATTCAGACCACGAGTGTTGGTGTAAAGTCAGGAGGACCAATGTTCGATTACCCAACACGTAATGGCATACAAAACAATTTAAAATCAGGTTACAGAATTTGCATATTAAGAGAATCGGTAACAAGGAAGCCACAAAGTGCATTTGCTCACCAACGTACTCGCTCACAATGGCTTTGTGGGGAGGAGGTACATTGAACAGCACGTTCTTATCCAGTTAAAACCTTCACTCATCGAAACTGCACCCCTATGTTGAGGTGTTGAGTATGGAATTTGTTGCGTGTGCGTGAGGAGACTTGGCACATCTCATTCGCACCTCAATCAGTTCCACATTCAGCTCCTGAAATCAAGGCAAACTGTTTATCTCAGTTCACTGGACCATAGTTTCGCTCCTCATGACTTGATAACTCACTCGGTGAATATGTCAGTTTATAGGAAGCTTCTAATGTCAAGGAATGATTCACTTAATGTCATTTTTCAAATTGTCTCATTTAAATCAAATCGCCTTTCGGGGGGGGTGGGGGTCGATCCCCAGCACATGGACAGGGAGCAACTTTTCACAGCCAGAAAACTAATACAATGAATCCCCCAAAACCGACCCTTCAACTGATTCAGACTCTGGGGATATGGGGATAGAGGGTAAAAGCGTGGCATCTTCAGCAGTGCAATATCCATCAGGGAAGAAACAGAAAGACATGTTCTGTGCCCTGGTGTTGCAATAGCTCTTGACACCAAGGGAGAGAAAGGAATGCAGAGGGCAACTGATTCACACCAATTTGGGTGTATGTTTTGGGCCGGAGCAGCAAAGTACGATTAAAGACTATCAAAGGTTATTTTCATTGCAGATTGGATTGTTGGGTGCCAATTCATGCTCGTGAGAATTATCATGTCATCGGGAACTGAAACTATGATTCACAGCAATGGAACTATTGGAGATATCTATCTACTTTGTGAAGCTGCAATCCTGCTGTCAATTCACGTGTGGGAAAGACTAATTGGTCACACTTGCACTCACAAAACAACAACAGGTCCTGGGTAGAGAGGACATTTTTCAAGAGACAGGGAATTAGATGCTGTGGCAGCCACGGGTTTAGCAGCATGTCTAACACTGGCACAATATTTAATTAAAAGATTTGATTGTACGTCATTCTTTTTCGGATGCCGTCACCGTTTTTTTAAAAGACAACCAAACAAAGTTTGTGGATTTTAGTTTGAAAGTAGATTCTACAATTTAAGAAACATTATAAAGGGACCCATCTCTCTTAAACTGCAAATGAAAACAAAATGAGTATAGCATAATCCTAATTATTAGCACACCCTGATAGAGAAAAGGGCTCTCTTAATCATCCCAGCAGAAGGTTGGAAAATATCCTCTATACACGCAAACCTACGGCAATCACCACAGATCGCTCCTCTCCCAACACAGGACAATACTAAGCTTGCAGTAGAGTCTGCAGAGTTAAGTGAGTGAATCCCACGGAACCATCTCACATCATCATTCTATTCTAAACAGACCATCTCCCTGGCTGTTACCTATGGCTTTTGCGTATTTTTTTAAATAACAGAAAAAAGTATTTACTCAAGACAATCATCCTCCACTAGGACATCATCGAGGCCCAACCTTCGTGTGTCCACGTTGCAAGGCTCCAGGTTAAGACAACTGAATCACCTCAACTGGGGAGAGGTTGTGGGGTGGGGGGGGGGCGGGGGGGGGGGGAGATTCTGTAGCAATTTGATTTGGGGTAAACTCCAAAAACAGAAGAGGGGGGAAATGGCACTTCTCATTCTTAACAGTGTTGTTGGTTCAGACCAACCCTACACACAATAAGAGCACATGTGATAGCGGTCACTACAGGAATAACCTTCCATAATTTGCCCACAGTGCCATCGTTTCCAGGGAGCCCCCAAACCTCACAGCAACGTGAACACTGGAACCCGTCGCAACTTAAGCGAAGGAATGACTGTCGACAGCGGGAGGACAGAAAAAGGCCGTTCGTCACTAACCGCTTGGAATTTGTGTTTCTTTTTAAACAAAAATAAAAATAAAAACAAAAAAAAACAAAAAGAATGCTCGTGACGTGCTGAATTCTGATCCAGATTAAATTAAGGCACCAGAGGTTTTTTTTTTCAAAAAAAATTCCAAAAATTAAAAAATTAAAATTAAAAATCCCACACAAGTTGTTTGTAGAAAAAGTTCCTTATACAAGTGTTCCGAGGCTGATGTCTGTGTAATAGTGCTTTCTATGGTGTAACATCCTGAAGTTGTTGTAGCTTTTGTGGCAATCAGGCCTGGGCGTTGGCTAGTTTTTGGATCAGAGGAATCTGAAAAAGAAAATCAAAGTGAATAGGGATCATTAATACATTTATTTGTTGATTCGTTAAGGGCAAGGCAGAATTCTTTTCACGGCCTCTGAATTATTTTCTATCCCTCCGCCTTGCCCCTTCCTTCCCCATCTGAAGACCTTCCTCTTCGACCATAGCGTACGGTCACCTGCCCCCTCCCCTCCGGCTCAGAGTTGTGCTCTGTCCGCCACTGTCGAGCGCTCTGGGAAGCTACCCTGCGCGAGGGGCGCTGTGTAAGTGCGAGTTGTTGTTGACTTCATGTGACAGGCCGCTCTGCTCTGGCTCTGGCTCTTGTTCCTTCCCCAAGGCAGGCAGCCAAGTATCGGCTTCATCGACAGAGGCTAAACGGGGAACGGGAAACATTGCGGGAGCTGGTGGGTTTAACCGGATGTTGGGAGTTATTGTAACTACCCCGACATGACGCGTAGAATAAAACTGACCTTTGACAGATCGACTCCGGTGAGAGCGTGGACGGAGGCAGGCATCTCCGCTAGCAAGCGAGTGACCTCCGACGTGATGCGGTTGCTGTCTCCGCCCAGGATAACGATCTCGTCCGTCTTTGCCAGCGGAGCGGCGATCTCAGCGGCAATCTGAGAGGACAACACTGGTCACTTCACAGAAACTTCTTCACACGCAGCACCCTGTCTGTGCTGCTCTACGTAACAGCTATCAATCACATTCCTCCCACTCGCCCACCTTCACCCCACGCACGCACACCCTTTGAATATTTGTAATTTAATTTTCATATCAACATCTTCTTAGTGAGTCAGTGCTTCAACAGAACACATTACGCTTCTTATTAATTGGTGGTGGAGTCAATTCAACCGAAAAAATGCTTGCAGTTTTGTTGCCATCATGAGATCGGCTTCTGCTGGAAAACAATATCTGGGGAGACAGTATATAGTTTGGGGACACATGTCAAGCGACTGCCGGGATGGTAGCAGGCGAACTAGATGGACCTCGGTCTTCCTTCACCAGAAGGTTCTTACATGTTCTTATCTCGAGCAATCGGCCCAGAGCGATGGGACGGGTCATATTTGGGTGCCCTGTTGGCATCATTCTCAGTGTGAATGCCATGATGGGCGTAAGCCCTTCCCACACCTCTTCGGGTTACCTTTGGAAGAGCGTCCAACACGAGGGCCGTCTTGGCCGCGCTGCCATACTGTTCGTACGCTGCCGCCTTCAGTCTCATTTTCTCCGCCTCAGCCTTGCCGATAGCTTCGATGGAAGAGGCTTCGGCCGCACCGATCTTGCGGATCTTTTCAGCCTCAGCCTGGGCGATCAGCACCTGCTTGACTCTGCAAGCACAGCAACGGCAACATCAGCTTCAGAGAGAGCCAGAGAGGAACAGGACCGGGTGATACCCAAACCCAGGGCTATCAGTTGTAAACAAACCCGTCCAAAATACAGGTTAAAATAGTAAAAATTAATTGTAACAATAATAATAATCCTTGCATTTGATCTTGTCCACATAATACAGTCAATTCACTTTACAGTATATTCTGTGAAGCGCTTTGAGATGTACTGAAGATGTGATAAGGCGCTGTATCAAATGGAAGGATTATTATTATTACTACTATTAGTGCCTTATCACTTTTCAGGTATATGGGTGTACGCCTAATCATTTTTTTTACATGAGAGTCAAAGAGCTTTAATAACCGGGTCAGAGAATCCTCGGTACTAGCGACTGGACCTTCCTCACTGCACCCTGACATCAATTATCACAGTGCGGTCAAGTCAAAGCCACCCAATTTAAATATTTATTCATCCTTTAAATATCTCCTTACACCCAGGCCTCTGTGATTGGTACTGTTGACGGCTAGGTGGCACTAGGCAGACACTCCAGTGACTTTTCCCCCACCCACTCTCACCCGCTACATGCGGGTCCGGCTGAGTTCTGGAACTCACTCAGTGACTCCCAGTAACATAGGAAGGAACAGGAGGTAATTCAGCCCATCAAGCCAGTTCCAGTTCATTAGATCTTTGAACCCCAACTTGCAACCTTTTTTTTTTGCCATATCCCTTAAATCACCACCTCAGGAAAGCTTTCCTCATAAAAATGATAATCCTTGCATTTTTTTTGCATTTCCATATTTGAGAGAGTGGGCACCTTATCACATCAAGATAACTGAAAGCGCTTCACAGGATATACTGTAAAGTGCAGTAACTGCGTATTTTGTGGTGGTGGTGGGGGGGGGGGGGAGCAGCATCCAGTTGGGCACAGCGGTGTCTCACAAACAGCCATGGAGCGCGTGATTAATCTTTATTTGGGGGAATTGTTGGCCATGACAGTGGGAGAGACAAACTCCCTTCTCTTTTCGAACAGCACCATGGGATCTTTAATGTCCGTCTGAACAGGCAGTCGGGACCTCGGTTTAACATCTCATCCAAAGGACGAATATCACATTGTTTTGTTGTCATTGTATGACAAGTATCGGAGATAGCAGCTGAGGGGAGATTTGATTAATAATAATAATAATCCTTGCATTTGATTTAGCACCTTATCATGTGGTTTAGACGTCTCAAAGCGCTTCACAGCATATACTGTAAAGTGGAGTGACTGTACACTTTGTACACGAAACACAGCATCCAATAACGCATAGAGACATCCCACAAAGTTGTGGGTTCATTGACCAAATTGTTATTATTATTACTGATAATATGATTTTGGGGGGGATCAGGGACATTAGGAAGCCATACAAACTTTTGTCCTTCTGCAATTTGTTGCATCCTGAAGGCTTCAGCCTCTGCTGGCCTCCTCACTGTTGCTATCAGCTCCTTGTCAGTACGAATGATCTCCTTGGCCTCAATGTCAATCTGCTTCTTACGCTGAACCACCTCGATCTCCACCTCCTCCTGACGGATTTTCTGCTGCTCCTTGGCTCCCTGTAGCTCGTAAGCCAACTGAGACTCGGCTTTCTACTCACAGCCAGGAGGAATCAGAAAAAAGCCAAAATTACAGCCTGTCAACACTGGGAAGCATAGACTGGAGAAAGACTACTTGGTCCATATTCCAACAGTTATACAAACAAATCATCGGCACAGTCACCACCCGCTATCCCCACTCTATCTCATACCTAATGCCGCATAAAACCTTTGTCACCTCCTTCCTTGATTTCTCAAATACTAAATATTAAATAAAGGCACTATTCAAACTTAAATCGTATTGTATTTAGGACCATTCAGTGCCTTTGAACATTCTCCCAAAAGGCGCTATCCAAATGCAATTTTGTATTGTATTCATAACTCATGAAGAGAGGTTGCTGCCCGGTTTATTGCGGGTGCCAGTGAGAACAGAACACCTACCTTGGTGTTTACTTCTTGGGTGAAGGAAGCTTTTTGCATCTCAAACGCTCTCTTTGAGTCAGCCATCATGGTGTCAGCCCTGTATTTAATATCCATGGCTTCCTTCTTACATTCAGATTCCTGTAAGAGCGGGGATGGGGGGGGGGCGGGAAGAGAAAAAGAATCAGAGTTTAACTTAAATAGGGTATTAAATATATTATGGCCTAGACGTATTCTCCAAAGCAATCATACTCCCGTATCTGGTCCGCTGCTGAACCTCACTCCAATCTCAGTCAGGGCAATGTGAAAGTCTCAAATCGTACTCCCAGAGAGACGCGCTCTGGAGTGATTCAGTCTAAAAAAAGAACGGTTACCCGAATTCCTGCATCCCTCTCGGCCTCTGCCACGCCGATCTCCGCATCTCTCTGCACCACTGCCGTCTGAGACTTGCCCAGCGAGCTCAGGTACTCCACCTTATCGTAAACATCCTACAACACAAAGGGCAACCGTGAGAGAAGGAACACACCAAACCACTGCTCGACGCCATTATTAACCCAGAGAGAAACCTTTAACCAGAACTGGCGTAAATGGTTCCGATGCTGGAGGTGAGTTGGAAAACCCGTAGTAAAACTAAAGTAAACCAGCGAACGTTCAAGCCACAAACATAATCTTCCCAATTCCCCTGACATTGTACTTCATAGGCACATTAGTTAATTGGGCAGAGAAATGGCAAATGAAATTTAATGCGGACAGATGTGACGCTATACATTTTGGGAGGAAGAATAAGGAGAACAATATGTTTTGATTATTTTTCCCCGTGAGAACATGAGGGGAAACGAGATATGAAGCTCAAAAACAGAGTTGAAGGATCCCTATACGGAAATATAAAAAGGCCCTTTAACAGTGCACTCTTCTCAGATTCTAGCGATGGGGATCAGGCTACAGAGACCTGCGAGATAACATGACGCTGACACCTAGTGACCCTGTTTTCGTTTTAAAAAAGATGTTGAAAGAGTATTGTTCTGGGCAGAGTGCCATGAATACACACCACACTCCGTGACTTGAAGTGGGATGAACTTTCAGGAAGAAATCCTGGGATGTGTTCCAATGTTTTTTTTAAATATATCGGAAAAGTTGCAATTAATTCTAACCAAAAAAAATCTCCGCTTCAGGTTGTGTTTTGTTTCCGTCAGTCACGAGGTGGGACACACCCCGCTTACCTAACTAATACCAGATAGTAATACGACACTGTGCGCAATTGGCTGCTGCGTTTCGCTCACAAAATACACAGTCAATTCACGTTACAGTATATTCTGAAGGGCTTTGAGACGCCTCGAAGATGTGATAAGGCGCTGTATGAAATGCAAGGATTATTATTGAGGTAAATCTACATCTCCTTACTTGTGCACTGAACTACCCCCGGCTGCTGTGCAGGGCAAGGCACATAGTTTGTGATAGATCATCCACCCAGAAACGTAGCTTAAACCACAATTTCAAGGAGTGATCCGCGGCAGAAACTACAAGCTGCGGTTTAAAAACTCAACAAAAGCACCTCCCTCATTCAGCTAAGTTTATCTTTCTCCTTCAGAGCAGCTGGGACCCTCTTCCTCGACCGCCACCTGCGGTCACCGTCCTACCCTACTCTCCCACCCCTCCCGATCCCAACACCCCCCATCTCGGGGCCAAATCCCTGACTGTCCAGCACCTTGGGACATCCTCCCGACGTGAAAGGCGCTGTGCAAATGCAATTTGTTGTTGTGTTGATGCCTAAATGCAGAGCATTTCCTGGTCAAGAGAGAGGAAACAGCAACTCTGCTATCAGATTTACACCAACCTGATTGTATGGAAGCGTGGGAATGTAATCCAGCCTCTCACTAATTGACATTTCCTGCTTGCAGCACTTCCTATTGCTTTCTCCCCGCCAAACTGTACATCACAAAGGCATTTGCAGTGCAGACATACACCACCAAGACATCTCCTCGGTCGGATCCACCATACTGTACCGCGGGGAGGAAGTGACCCAGATTCTTTGCTACGTGGTTAGTGTGAAGCATGAGATTTACGCCGACCCTGGTGACCAAGGAAACTGTTGCTGACGGGAACCGAAGCTGGGCTGACGTAATTATCCATTCTTTAGAAAAGAGCTAAGACCCGCGGATAACAGCTACTTGAAGATTATTCCTCTCTCAGGAACACTTGACTGTTGAAAATTAGAAGATCAGCCATGATTAAATGGCGGGGCAGGCTTGAAGGCCGAATGGCCTGCTCCTGCATGTTATGTTATGATTCACGTGGCACCCCTCGTGCAGAGCAGCGTCCCCGCGCGCTTGACAGTAGCAGAGCACGACGCCGTCACATACGTGGGTTTACCTTGATGGTGAAGCTGAGGATCTCGATGCCCATTCGGCCCACGTCGGGGGATGCCACCTCACGTACCAGCTGAGCAAACTGATCCCGGTCCTGATAAATGGCTTCAACGGTCAGTGTTCCTGAGAGAGGAATGAAAGCTGATGTCAATACAGACCAACCTCGGGCATCGAGTCTGAAAGTTATACGGCATCTATCCACCTCAGTGCCGGGAATTTGAATGGATCCAGCATCCACAGCCTTTTGGGAGGAAGTGGGAGAGAGTTTCAGATTTTCACTACCCTTTGGTTTTAACTTTACCTGCAAACTAAACTGCTTCCTTCTATTAGTACAAGTTCCCAGGCAGGTTGGTACTGTTCCAGTTTCAGCGGCGAGAGAAAGCCAATGCCGTGGTTACTGTGGAAGAAGGCGCATCTGTTGAGCAGTGAAATGTTATGGGATGGGGGGGGGGGGAGGTGCGGAGGATTTGATACTCCCTGCAGAGCATCTAAGCACATTGGCAGTTTCAGTGCTTCCTTCCTTTTCGTTCCACTTCGGACATTGCTTTTGGGGTTATGAATTTTTTTTAAAATTTATATTTATGTCGCCCACAGCATATAGTCAATTTACTTTGCAGTATATTCTGTGAAGCTCTTCGAGATGTCTCGACGACATGATATATCAGGCGCTATATCAATTGCAAGGATTATTCTTATTCTTATGAAGGGTTAATTGCCTTCATCGCCTTGTCGAAATTCTCTTTTCACAGGATGATCTGTGCCTCGCACTGACCCTGTGTTTTATTTGAGACAGCGAGAAGGGTGGTATAGTGATGAAATCACCTTTGTAAGTCGCAAACTTTAAGCACACACAGTGTGAGTGCACAGGGAAAGGCCTGTGTACGAGATAAGGGAGCTTCACGTCTAAACTTTTCTGTAGTGTGTGTCCAACCAGACAGCTACAATCTTCTACAACATAACCCAGCCAGTGACCGAAATCTTTCAGAACACGTGACCGCTGGCATTCCACCTACATCCGTTAGCTTAACTGACTTCAATTTGATAAACGAAGAGAATTAGAAGTTACACAGCCTACTCCAGCTGTGGCCAGCTGGGGCTTTCCTGTAACAGTGTTTTGCAACGCGGTGAACATACACAAGACTGGAAGCAGAAAATAAAATCAGCAGGGACAAGAAAAGAACACACAATTATCAAGGAAAAAAAAACCAAATGATTTTTTTCCCCCTCTATTTAGCTATGGACTACAGAGGACAAAGCAGAGGATTAGCTTGTGAAGAGACCAGAGTTCCACCACAACTCATTCAGTGAACTTGCTATCAGTGTATCTGTCAGTGTAACATGGAAAGTTGGGCAAAGGTACTCTGAGCACCATCACATTGCGTCCGGGGCACAAAGCAACATCAACACTCAGTGCTCCTCCTAAGAGGAGGGATCAAAGCCTTGTGCCGATCTGCAGTGATGCGCTGAGTTACTGATTGTCTGCCGTGTTGGAAAGTACTGAGTCCACTCAAAAGGTTTCCCCACAGAGGCAGGAGTGGGCGGTAAACAAAGCAGGAAACTCTCAACGGCACTGAATTGAAGCAAGTCACTGCTCCCAAACAACAACAACAACTTGCATGCGGTGTAGCGCCCCTCACGCAGGCGAGCCTCCCAGAGCGCTTGATGTGGTGCAAGGCACAAGAGGATTGACGATGGGATTGGAGGGGAGCAGAACATGGGTGTTAGAAAGGCACTCCAAGGCCTCGATGAGTATCGGGAGAGGACCGTGAAGAAGAGAAGACCACCTTTACCTAAGATAGCTCGGAGATGCCCTTCCAGGGTCTGCAGCACCACACTTTTGGTTTCCATGACACTTTTCCCCAGGAACTGTTCACACGCCACTGCGAGCAGCTCTTTGTCAGTCATCACTTTCACCTGCGCACGTTAAGCACAACTTGAGTCGACAGCAAAACAAAGGAATTAACAGCTCGACACCTTTATTACGAACAGGCGATATCAAGCCGCCTGGATTTAAAATAAGCAGCTAGACATTCACGGCGCTTCATTAATAGGAGTGGGTAAGAAAGCTTACTAAGCTGAGGCTAGCTATGCATTTGTGAGCTGAAGAGAAGCAGATATTAATCGCTGTACTACACATGGAAGCAGGTGATCGCAGTGAATAAAGCAAAGCACTTTTTGTTACAAGAACATAGCAGAAGCAACAAAACAGTATGTCATTCTGCAACCCCTTAACCTGGCTTAATTTTAGACTCAAAGGATCCAAACTCAATTTTTTTTTTTTTTTTTGCATCTCATCGCAATGGTGGAGACTCGCAGGTTTCCGCAGGTTAAGTTGTTGTAAGATAGAGGCAAAACAGAACACAACCTTGAACTCTTTAAAAATAATAATTGATGACAGTAGATTTGAAATTGGCAATCCGCTTGTCTGAAGAGGTCTCCTGAGATGAGGGATTCCCTCTTTGCATGCATTTATATCAAAACACCAACGCTTACACGAAAAATAGGTCAAATGGCCAAATACGGCACATGGCTTTCACCCTCGTGGTCAAGCTGATATGAATGCATTCCCCCAAACTGGGCAGTTGTGTGGACACTTAAACTAGTGAGTGAAAAACTCAGCCAGAAGGTTACTTTGCTGCTGATGGGAGTATGCAGAACATTCACTGCTGCTGATGGGTGCACAATAGCGGTGAGAGAGGATCAGAAGGCAACAGCAACTGATTAGGAGGTTTTCACTTTCTCAGTAGAGTGCATCAATAACCAATACTGGCAGAGAACGGTGGACAGGCATTACCGACAGATTTCGATTGAAACGTTAGAAAAGTTTAACCTTCCTGTCCTCATTGTTCCCTCAACTCCTCGGGCACAGTTAAAGCTCCTCACTAGCTGCCACTAATTGTTTCCTTCACCGAGTTTAATATGGGGGAGGATATGGGTTGCAGAGTTCTGCATAGTCTGGAGGGTGGGAGCTGGAAAAGTTGAGTCTGGAGGTGACAGAGACGAGGCTAAGGTTTGGGCTGGGGTTTGAGAGAGCTGGTGGTAGAGGCGACCGATATTGTACATATCTAGGTCAGTCCACCGACGTGTAAGTTTGCGTACAATTTACTTATGGCAGGAAGTAATTCCATTCAAATTGTAAAGACACTGCTCTTAGGTCAACATTAACCTCTTCCTGTTGGAAACAGAAACAGGCCATTACGGATTCAAACCGATTGTTTAAGAGATGTTTGTACGGGTGGAGAGGAGGGGAGGGGTAGAAAGAATTCTAGACGACACGCAGCACCAACCTGAGTTGATGGCAGTGGATTAAGTTAATTCTGACGCTTTAACACACCTCTGCATTGGAGACGCTGCTTTAATTCAGTCCCTTTATAATTAAATGGGAAGGTTGGAAAAGTCGAAGCTCTCCCGCAATCGATGCCAGTTAAATCAGCCAGAGATCTCTGTCCAGCACTTACCAAGATTTCAGCCTTTTCCTGTTCTACTCGTGTTCAAAAATATATACATTTATGCGGCATTTGAGTGGAGTGCGGCAACAGCGGTTGCGAAGAATGGGTATGGATTGGAAGCTCTCACAGGAGACCCTTTACCGAATCTCTCCATAGACAAGAGAATCTCTGGTTGCCATACTAACTCCTGAAATAGTTGTGCCTTGGGGGGTGGGGAAGGAGAAAACGGCGCAATGTGGGCTGTGAAAGTTTACTTTCTTCTTTGAAGCCTTCCACCTAGTTCTTAAGATAATGGACACTGGTTTGCTCCCATTGTACCACCATAAAATCTGAGACCCATCCTTTTAACTGCTGTTTGACAACAAGTGAGTCAAGAGTTCAACAATCTTTAGAAGCCAATATATTTTGGATGAATAAACCTGGGGTGGTGCCAGTCAAAAGTCACAACAAAATGTTGCTTATTCATTAACTTTTCAAACACAGTGAAATTACTGCAATGCAATTCAGGTACAGGTTAGAGAGGACAAACACCTTTGGTAACAATAACAGCTATATTCTTAATTTAAAGGGTGACATCCAGTGTAGGGAGAGGTATAAGAATTTTAGTCAATTCACTTTACAGTATTTTGTGTGAAGCGCTTTGAGACTTCTCAACGATGTGATAAGGCGCTATAAGGCAAGGATTGATATTATTATACCCTTTCCAATTTAATTCATTTAACTGACTGTTCATGGAACGTTGCTGGTGATCAGATTATATAGGCTGTGTTTGCCTATAACATTCACTTTAATTTCTAATCAGGTTTAAACTGTAAAGCTTTTTGAGGCTTTATTATACAAAAAATGTATATTATTATAAAGCTTCCACCTGGTTTAAAAGTCTCGTGTAAATTTTATGAAATGCATTCTACAAATCAAATTACATTATATCTACTGAAAAGCGCTTTATCCACTGGTGTCATTACTTCCTCAAAGAGTGCACCATCTTTGTAAATGATGCACATCCCAATCTTAATTGAAGCCTTGAATAAAAGGTGAAATCCTGACATTCCACGGATCATCCCATTAATTAGACACTAAATCTTAAACCCTTAGCTAATATTAGGCCATTAATGGTTTTAACATGAAATTGAAAATGTGAGAGAATTTTGCCTCCTCTTTTCCAAATGACTGACCAGCAGCTGTAATCTTTGAGATGGTTTTTGATTGCTCCAGATTAAATAATATACATTTGGTAACATTTATTGATTTGTTTTTTTTAAAAAAAAGTTACTCCGGGATCATTAAATGCCGACGAGTCAATTTTGCACAGGTCATGGGGTGTATTTCACTTCAAGTGAAGTATACAATTTGTCATACACACAAACTTTCATCAACGTAGTCCAATGAATAAAAAAATAAAAACATTAATGGCCTAATATTAGCTAAGGGTTTAAAATTTAGTGTCTAATTAATGGGATGATCTGTAGAATGTCAGGAATTTACCTTTTATTCATTTTTATTCATTGATAATATTTATTATAATACTGATAATAATCCCTCAAAAAAAGAACAATAATAAATTGGTCATTTCAATCCACGACTGTTTGTAGGACGCTGCTGTGCGCAATTGGCTGCTTCATTTCATCCACAAATATACAGTCAATTCACTTTACAGTCTATTCTGTGAAGCACTTTGAGACGTCGAGAAGACGTGAAAAGTGCTGTATCAAATGCAAGGATTATTATGCTTATTATTATCATTAATGAGATGAACTCTTTTCAGCGATTGTGTTTCAAGCAAACGTGTAACACAGCTCTTGCATGCGTCAGCTTCAATCTCATTACAAATCAAATGGGTTCAGATTTAAAGTCCCACTCAGGACTAAAGCCTTCTTTATGACCCAACTGTGCAGCGCCTTGGGACGTCCTCCTGACGTGAAAGGCGCTTTATAAATGGAATCTTGTTGTTGTTGTTGTTCTTAACACTCCCCACAATCAAAATTTGGAGTACCTTTTCCATACCCTCCCCCCCACTTAAGATTTTGGACATCCAGAGAAAATAAAACAGAATCACTGGGTTTTTAATGGTCATAAATGGGGACAAGAAAGCTGGCCTGCTTTACTGTGAAGCTTTTCAACATGCGGCATGAGAATGTGTATCTGAGGCTTCATTGTGCCATGAGTGCAGTTAGCAAGATAGTAAATTCAGCGTGGAGGATGGGGAAGAGGTCACAGCACAACTTTAATAGCAGTCACTGCAAATTCTTCAAAGCCAACATTTCAGTACAGACTCCTGACGGCCACAAACTTTACCAAAAACTGAGGTGGAGCGAGGAAACACAAATAGACGCTTTGACCATTATAAACCTTTTAAGAGTAAAGTATGTGTAACCAAGAACTCAATTGGAAAGCTGATACAGCATGGCACAGTGTGTTTGGACACAAGCTTGATCATCCACTCGGTCGAGTTTTTGATCTCAGTCAGGTTTCAAAGAGCAGAGCTCAAGAGTGTCCCTGCTTGTAAGGGGTAAGGGGGAAACCAAAGTCATCTCTGGGCTGCTCTCATGTGTCTCTTGGTGTCCATCACACATCTGCACAACCAGCAGGTTATGTCTGCCTTCTTGCAGGTATTATGGTCCGGGAGACCAGACGGGAGAAAAATTATTGAATAAATACCTTCTTATTAAAAAGATGCAATTATAATAGCAAAGTTAAGATCGGTCCAATACAATAAAGAATGCATATTAAGGATGTCACGATGGGAGTTTTAAATTTTACAGTAGAACCCTGTTCAGAGTTACTTACACGGACGGACGGACGGATGGGGGGGGGGAGAGGGGGAGGAGAAAGGAAATTAAATCTATTGCCCAAATTCATTTAGCAAGCTTAAACACTGTTACAGCATGGAAACAGACCTTTCCGTCCAACTAGTCCATGCTGGAAAGATTCTCACCACGGACACATGCGGAAACCCATCGGCATGCTTAAGTGTATCCAAACCAAACAGAGTTCCATGCATACTGCCTAAACATGGAAATTTCTGTATATTAGTACGGAAAGTACTTTCTCCCTCAAGGGATGATTCCTGCTTACCCAATTCTGGAGAGTAATAAACACAGATTGGCAAGAACTTGGGGACCTCAGAGTGTACTTTGGGGTAACTGCTGGAGTTTAACCATCTAATGCAGGGCACTGTCTGTTGGAGCTTTGGCTTGCAGGGTTAACAGGAGCTGAGGGGGAGGATTCCCTGCCTCAGAGATTGGTCTCAGTGCTGCTGATGAGCCAGTGCTGGCTGGTCTGTCATCAGCAGTGTCCTGGAGTACTGCAGACCTGCCTGGCTCAGGAACCTGACTAAAAGACAGCCACATAGTAAATATCTGAGCATAATTTTCCATCATTCTCTCTATCTAAAACCCAAATTCATTACCGGTTCTTTCATTGTTACATCTCAGACTGCTCCCTTCCTCCCTCCCTCAAATGTTGCTCTGCCAGGAATTTCAGATTATGTAGGTTTGCCTCAAGGCGCTGGCTGTGGTGTTCCTACGGTAAAAAAAACACAATCTAGGTTCACGCACGCACAATCTAGGTTCTCTCACGCATATTTATAATCAACTAGCTCCAGATCTAGTGAATTTACGGAGATAAAAAAAAATCATGATGGAACAGGGTTCTATTGCGTTACAATGGTCAAAATGCCATGATAGGACCTGGCCAGCAAATATATACTGTCCTCAAGTCTGAAAGCTGGTTGGATTTGCTGGGGTTTGTCTGGTGAATCATGACCTTATGCTTTACGTTCAATGTGGAAAGAGGGAGTCAAGGCACAGTTTAGATTGAGGTATTGCGTTACGCTGATATCATGACATCCCCAGTGCAGGTACATGGAAATACTTAATACAAGACAACTGTAAATTTAAATGTTGTAGCATATTCAGACCCGATGCACACATGCAGCTGCATCCTGAAGAGATTAGTATCAGTGGTGGGTCGAATGCATCCCAGACTTCGCACATTAATCTCCAGAAAATGGATTAACAGTGTTATTTAACAGATCAGTGCATGAATAGCCAGCAATGACCGTCTTGGGATGCTTGCGATTGTCCACCCTGGGGTTAAATATCCAGTGCCATTTAAACAGCTTTGTGGCGGAGATGAGAAGAAATGGCAGAATTATTCAATTGTTGCTGAAAGTTCATGAGGGTCCAAAGCAAACTCACCACTAACATTCAGGGGTGGAAAATCCCACTACTTTTTTTTTTTTGTTTGATATAAAAGGAAGTATCTGTTTGAATTCTACAGAAACCTGTGGATGAGATTGTAGTTTCAAGTGCCTGTCTGCTGCCAGTCGGGAGAGCTTGCAGCTCAAGATCCTTCAGTGGGAGAGACAGGCTACAATGATATTGAGTGGCCTTCTAACACGAATGACTGAAGACCTGAGGGCTTTGTGACCAAATCAGGTCCTGCCCTTTTTCCGACACATTTTCCACCCTTGAACATTGGTCAAGAACCATAAAAATCACACAAGTCTCTTAAAAGTAACCTCCTACTGTTTTGTTAACTTTAGCTCGATCTAGGAACAAGCAAAAGCGTTAGTAAGTTTTTAATGCCTTTTGACAGACTCAGGCTGCAAAGAGTTTTCTTTTCTTTTAAAATCAGATTTCTGGTTTGGTGGGGTTATTTACCTGAGCGACCCCTGTGACAGTTAGAGCTACCCCCTCTGCGGTCTCTACATCCTCACACTTGGGCTGAAGCGTCATAATCTCAAGGGATATCCTGTGAAAAATGTAAAACACTCGCAAATTCCAGGTCAGATGACAGGCCTCGAGCCCCACTTTCGAGTTCAATCAATTCGTTCCCTTCGCCTCTCAACCTTTTGGCCCTCACTGCACCCCCAGTCAGAGGTACTGTACAGCGCTCCAAAAAAAAGCACAGCCGACCTCGCAATGAGTATTACTTTTAGAATAAAAAGGAATCGTTGCTGGATGGTCTATCCAGCTGTCTTCAAATAGTTCGAGCTCTTGCGATGAAGTTGCTACAAGAACCAGTTAAAGACATTAAATACAGCATTTCTCTGGATCTTTTCACAATCAAGTTAGGTTCATATCACCAGATAGGGAACATCTGGAGGAACCACTGCAATTTTTTAAAGTTACATATTGCTATCGTATTAATGAGTATGTTTCTTTTGTATTTTTTTTTTAAATTTGATCACACTTGGGTTTGGGACCGTCCGTTTATCTGAATTCTTGACCCCCGGCAATTTGGGACTATTCATTAATGACATTATTGCAGCAGGTTCCTTTGATTTAAAGTTAATCAATCTCCTCTTTCTCTCCCTCTCTTAATTTAATTTTGTTCCGGCTCTGCTTCCTTTCTGTACAATACCCACAAGGGCTACAGGTTGTGCCATTGGGCAGTGAGGTTGGGAAGGTTGTGTTGCAGTGGAGGTCAACTTTCAGATGCTGCTTGGGAGGGGTACTGGGAAAGAAAGAAAGACAAAAAGACACAGAACAAGGTTAAGAGCCAGTTACCTGTGCAACCCCTGTCACATACACGGGGACACCCTCAATGGTTTCTATATCCTCACACTGACAGACGACGGTCATGATCTCCAGAGGTAGTCTATGCAGCAGGAGGAGTGGGGAAGGAGGTGGGACAGTACATATTCAGAGCAATTATCAGAACACAGCACGAGATATTCAATTCCCAGACATTAAGGCAATTAAGCAAATCAAATATTTTTCTGTAGGAAGGCCTGGCTGCTTCGAGGCGTCTTAACCCTTTGAGAACTGCAATTGTATTTTCGTTTTGCACCGCAACACGAGTGTGTTTTTCCTGTACTGGAAAAGGAAGAATTGTTCCACTTTTCTAAGCCTATATATATATATATTATATATATATAACACACACACACACAGTTTGTGAAAACTTCTACATGCAATTCTCTAATTCCAGTACAGTGTGATGAGAGATGAGGGGGGAGGAAACTGTGGTTAATACATTCCTTGTTACCATCTCGATGCCTGAGCAGAAATCTCCTGAAATTTTTGCCCTCATTATAAAAAACACACACCGGAAACAGGAAAGTTGCTCAGCACTCAAAGGGTTAACCGTCTGCCAGGCACTGACTTAGTTTGGATTGTGTCACTGACGGGAACATGACACGACTGGCTCCAGTTTCTGATGTATCTGTAGTGTCCCGATTGCACACTGGAGGAAGGGGGCTGGTTGCTTGGGATTTGAAACCGACGGGCCAATTACAGTGCCGCAGAACACACTGGCACAGTGACAGCATTCAACGTGAAGTAATGTGAAGCCTTCGCAGCTTTTAGACAAATCAACTGTGAAAAATACACTTTGTTTGCGGGCATCGCAAAAACATTCCGCTCCCACTGGAGATCTCTCGCCGCAAATCCTCTGTAATCTGGCTCCACAATCAGCTTCCACAAAACTGTGCTGCGTTCGAGCCAACGCCTGGATCTCAGCTTGGCTCGCAGGCAGACAAATAACTCTTGTTGTACAGATTAGCGAATGAGTGGCAGTTTACAGTAACCCTTTTGACTCAAGAACATACCCCCAAAAACCCTCAAAGTAATCCATAAACAAACAGAGGGTACTTTTGCATCCACTGTTTCAGCTTTTTTTGCTTTCTGCAGAACTATAAGGTGCTTTTGAAAAAGCATTTCATTGTTCAGGGTGAATTTGGTCATTATTAATTGGGGGAGAGGGGGGGGAGAAGAGAAGAGGAGAGGAAGGCAGGGGAGGAGAGGGTGGGGGGGGGGGGGTTCTGCCTCGCTGGTCAAGATCAGGAATTTCACCTCCTAAGAAAATGCAGGCCACAGCCATTTAAACTGTGGGCAGCACATTAGCGCATCAGTGCACCAACCACTGCACTTCTCATTTTCTTTATTGCATTACCGGGGGAGGAAGTGCTTCTAATGTGCCAATTGTACATTACGAGATTGCAGGGAGCGGTAGTGGGTCTTTGCTGGCAACGTAAAGCGAATTTGTCAGTCACGAGTGCTCCTGCCTCCTTCCTGGAATCAGATCTCCCGGGGGCTTGCCAGCAGTTGGAATGCACTTGCGGAAAGATTTCACAGTGATTTTGCTCTTGCACAAACCCTCAGCCTGAGAATTAATTAGCTGGTATGAGAAACCAGCGACCAATTGAAGCATTGAGCCTACAAAGACTGGTTTTGCAAGGTATTGCAGCAGTTTGTTGATCCCCTGCAGCTACAGATCAAACATCTTGATTTCCCCACCTCCAGTGCAGTAACACTCATTCCCTGAGCCCAGGCAAGGGAATGGAACAAACAAGACTCGTGTGAAAAATCCATTGCTTTTACAAACATTTCATGACAAAAAGAACTGTACGGGGACTGGAGCTCCTAATAGTTTCCAATGGCAACAGAAACTGGTACTGCAAAGATCCGTACGCTTGATCCTCTTCCCTTACAGCGGACTACTGCGGGTAAAATGACTCACATTCATTACTCAAAACATGCAGGCTTTGCACGGTGAGAAATAATGCTCTTGGCAATGGGTTGAGCAGAAGGAGTTGCAACAAAATCTAAGCACAGGAGCCTAACTTGTCTTCATCTTCGTGTTAACAGACATTGTGAAAGTGGTTGCAATGAATTGTTGAATCATACATTGAGGCAATGACATCGTAGAAGATGTTTCCGGTCAGCACTGTCAATGAGAGGGAAGAAATCCAATTTGCGTGGAAACCGTGAAACTTTCAAGTTGAGTGCATGGATTTACAGGCCACCATGGGTTTGGCAACTGGGGCTCTTGTTGGTGGAAACCCAGCAGTTAAGAACTGGAGAGGTGAGTTTGCAATCAGTCCACAGTGCTTTCATCACCTCCAGGCTCGACTATGCCCTGCTTGTTGGCCGTCCCAACTCCTCCCTCCACAGACTGTAGATAATCCAGAACTCTGCAGCCCGTGTCCTCTCCTGCACCAAACTCCGTGACTCCATCTCCCCCATTCTCGCCCGACTCCATTGGCTCCCTATCCTTCAGAGGATCCAGTTCAAGATCCTGGTCCTCACCTACAAAGCCCTCCGTGGCCTCGCCCCACCCTACCTCTGCGACTCCTAAGCCCCTACCAACCCGTCCGTTCCCTTCGCTCAGCCGGCTCCGGGCTGCTCCATGTCCCCCGACCCACCCACCCCATGTCCCCCGACCCAGTGTACATGCTGTACACTGTCCAGCGCCTTGGGACGTGCTCTCGACTTGAAAGGTGCTATACAAATGTAATCTTCTTGTTGTTGTTTTGGAGCTATTGTGCAAGAGAGAAATGGCTACGCAAGAAGCCCAAAGCGATGATGAAATGTTTAAACGTATCCACTACCTTTCTTTTCACTTTCAATCATTCCCCCCACCCATTCAGCTGTGAGTAACAGCCACAAGCACGCCAGGGTGAGAGACTGCAACAGGCGAGGAGGAGGTTGGATAAGAAATAATGTTTTTGGTACGAAAGGAAGTTTCAAGAGTACAACAGGCATCAGGCAGTATTACAATTAATCTGCTCAAGTTGGAAATGTGCACTTCAGGGAGTTCCTGTCAGAAAGCATAGCTGAAGAGTCCTCTGCATATACTTAATACAGAATAACAAGGATGTGGGAGGTTAGATACCTAAAGTAATTGATCAGTTCAGATGAGAGCAAAAAAAACAATTTAAAGATCAAAAGTTGTACAGTCACTTAAACCCTAAGGTTGTTAAAATCTTTAAACTCAATCTGTGCTTTGTGTCATTTTACAATAAGCTAATTGCACCAACGTCCAATTATTAGAAACCTTTGTGGAGCATTCCCAAGCTTTACATCTCCGCATTGGGGATGATGGGAGGCGGTAGATTACAGAGAAGTTCCATAAACGCCAAACCATATTGAGCCATGTTGCTCTAGAGCTTCACAAGACGTCACGTTGGTTTAGGTTAGCGTCCTGCATTGCGGAAAAAGTCTCTGAATACAACACATGTACGAGAGTTCTTCAAAGCCAATCTGTACTGAAGGATGGGGAAAATGGGAAGTGAGCTGAGAGACTGTTCAAACCGCTTTGATATAGGGCCCTTACAGCCTTGGGAGAGAAGAGGTTGCATTGTATTCGTTTGGAATGAATTCGAACTCGAGGCCTCTCAGCCACATCCCGGTCGATCCATCGACGCAGGATACAACAGGAAACTAGCGATCAGGACTACACCACGTTGAACCGTTTAAGTCCCTCCCCAGCATGGGGATTGTGACGCGCCCACTGTCAATGCCATTTCTCCTCTTCCTCACCTCCCAAGCCGTAACTGTCCTTTAGCAAAACAGCCATCAACAATCCCAGGAGAAAAGCAGCAGAGGAGACAGTCAGAGCTGTGAGCAAGTTGGGTAAATCTACAAACATTGTATAAAAGCGATGGGATATTGCTGATGCCGAGAGAAAGAAGCGAAGGAAAAGGTTATCTGTGAACCAGCCTGCTCTAGCGCTACAACTTTTTTTTTTTCGGATGCAAGCATCCATAGAATGACTCGTGACATCCTCTGTAGAGAGACTGTAACTCTAGCTGTCAAATGACGCAATACGCTAACACGGAGCATAAAAAGCATTAAAAAAGAATAACCTTTTCGCTGCCGACTGCTCCCGTTGTAGGGATGGGAAACCTTGATCCCGATGCGAGATTGGGTATTGCTTGTGAGGAATGCAAATGCAAACAGAGGGAAATGGGAAGGTCGGATTTGTTAGAAGTGTGAGCTGAGCCACGTCATAAAAGTGACTTTTTT